ACAGGAAAGGCTTTTAAATAGGGCCTCAAATATAACCAATTTTCCCCCCAGATTTTGTGTTTACAAGTGAGCGTCCACATTATTCACTGGCATTGTTTTCAAGTTTCATATGCACGTGCACATTTAGCAAAAAGATAGAATTTGCATCAAAAGAGACCCTCGGTTAAATCTCCGGAATAAAGAAATTACTGATATTTTCTAACATCACAGCAACTCTTTCTAAGAGTTTCAGCGATGTTATAACCTGAGTAAGATAATTAAGTGTTACATCCTACAAGATGAGCCGTGACGTTCACCGTCTCGGCTCTCACTGCTATCTGTGATACAAGCCAATTATTAGCATATTCCGGATATTTCTTCCGAAAGTAATCGAGAGTTCTTTTTTATGCAAATTTTTATTTTTTTTGCTAAATGTGCACGTGCATATGATTCTTGAAAACAATGCCAGTGAATAATAAGGACGCTCACTTGTAAACACAAAATCTGGGGGAAAAATTGGTCATATTTGAGGCCCTATTTAAAAGCCTTTCCTGTTTTCAATGTTCTTGAAACTTGCAGGGTATATTTATTGACGATTGATCTCGGGATTTTCCAATTTATAAAAAAATTTATCGAGCGGTTTTCTGAAAAATGCGAAATTTGTAGGCGTGGACCAAATTACGTGCAAAAACTGTAACAAAAACAGCTGAATGCAAGTAATAAAATTCACCTTACTCGCGATCGCCCAGAGCAATTCCGCTCTTTTTTTGTACACAGTTTTCAATGGAATCAAATCACAATGAGATGAAGCCGCGTTTCCAAAGCTTATCATTTTCTTAAAAAATTAGCTAATTGTGTGGATAGCATGCTATTTCACTGTTTTTATGATGCTCAAAACTTCGTTTCAAAATATTTCGAAAACGCTCTCATAGAATTTGTTCAAACTTCGCCATAATTGAGGCAATTATGGCAGGCACAAACTCCCTTAAGCGATTTCTTAAAAAAACTCCTGGTACGGAGAAACACGAAGATAAATAAAAAACGTAATGGCGTCGTTACGTTGCCATGGCGACTCCGATTGCAATAAAACCCAAATCATAAGAATTTTTCATCTTTATATAATACAGTTGTGGAAACCTTTTTTCCATATCTTTACTTATGGCGACGTAGTTAATGCTCAAACTTGGGAGGTATCGCCCCCAAAAAAATCCAGTCGAGCCACCTTAAGTATAACTAACTTCCTAACAAAATAAGCTTTTTTAGTAGCATTAACGAAAAAAGAGGCGAAAAAAATCTCCTCACGGGACGTGTAGATAAAGATTATTGTTTCAAACTTTGACGTAATTTTTACATTTCTCAGTTTCAAAAACGCTCAGTTTCAAAAGGAGCTTCAACGCCAGGTACAATGAGTGAATGAAATTCTTATCTATTTTTTAAAAACTTTACATCTAACATTGGGCTATGAAGGGGGTCTAAACCAGTTTTATACAATGTAGGCTGCGAAAAGGGATAGAAAACTGTTTATGTCCTGAAGATAAAATTTCTATAGCGGATCGAGTAACCAGAGCTACACTGCGAAGTAACCAGGTGAAGGTCAGCCGCTAAAAATTGTTACTCATCTTGCAGATAATTATTTGTGGGTATTATCTGCCAAACCCTCAAATCAGACTTAGTATGTAATGCATATGTAACTATCACTTTTAGGTTGTCCCTCAAACATTGAAAAGCAATGTTAATTTTCCTCTCAAAGCATGTCCAACCAGGGTGACACAGACAAGCAATGGAGAGAGAAAAGAATAAGTTGAACTCAGGTGCAACCAAAGAACCTTAAAACAAGGAACTGAACTGCAAGAGTAGTAACTTATTTACTATACCACAAGTGTAACGCAAAACCAGTGATTGTATACACAAGTTTGCTGACTACTTATGGAACCGCTCTAAGACAAATTGCCAATATTTAATTGTATTGCACAATAAAACTTCAAGATAGCGCACCAAACAATTATTATGAAAGAAGGAGAAATCAAGCATCAGAAAGCACAGGAAAAAATTCCGAGCTCCAGAAGAGATTCAAACTCTGACAACCCTCTTGAGTTCTCGATTGGACGCTTTACCACTGAGCTACTGGAGTGAGCAGGATCAAAATTTAATTATTATACACCAGCACGAGAGGACTGTATCAGATACTTGTTCAAAATCAGCTGTCCACCACACTTGACTACCAACAGGCCATTTCTGAGGTGTTTCAAGCCTCGGTTTCAAAGCGAGGCTAGGTGCAAAGCCATTGATATGAAAATTGTTTTTTATTCTCCTACAAATAAAACTACTTTCACAAGAGAGGTTTTCCATTTAGCCTCGTTTTGAAAATGAGAGTTTTTGAAACTCGGAAATGGCTTAGCTATTCATGTAAAAAACCGGAGCAATTTGTAAGTGTTTCAAATTTTTAGCAAGTTGTTATATTACTTTTAACACCCTTTTCAACCAATGAAACAAATTTCTCCGTTGCTGATGATAAGCCAGCACTGTACTCACTTAAAATTGATTCACAGTCCCATTTCTCCTTTGGTTGCTCTGCTACTCTCACCAGTTCATCTGGACAACTGTCACTATCATTGCCATCAACAAATTTATTAAGGCTCATGACAGCTTCTCCTTCCTTCACCTTAGAAAGGCTACAAAATAACAACAAATCGACATAAAAATACCCATGTGCATGTGAATGTAATTGAAGCCAATGTATTGAAGCATAAAAAACACTATAATTTCAGAGGTCTAATTACCTTATTGACATGTTATTGACATATTTGTTACAGGAAATTGCAAGTGGGTGGATGGGCGGCATCAAAACAAAGTCTAAAGGCTCCCCAGCCTTTTTATCTCCCCCAGGCCATGCTATGCTTGCTTTGCTCACCGATTTTCTTTTTTCACCCGCTCCACTTGGGAGCTAATCAAAACAGTCCAGCTAGATCAGTTAGTTCCTGAATAATAAACATGGCCAGTTCTGACTTTTGGAAAGCAGCCTGAGACCATATTTAACCTCAAGTTGTCAGAAAGTTGTGCAAGTTGTCAGAAAAAGTAACCCTTGATTTGTTCAGATTGTCCTTCACACAACTCTTTCCCGTATTGGAAAGCATTTGATTATTTCACTTACTCTTGGTTCTGTTGGCTTTCAATAAATTCATCAGCAAGAGCATTAAGTCGCTCACTGTCAGGGTTGATTGTCCCTTCCAGTTCTTCATGATCGAGGGCACCAATTTCATCTTCGTCATACTCCTCCATTAACTAAAATTCAGTTCAAAACCAACATTATTACAGTATGGGAAAAATTTGTCTCAGTTAGTTACAAAAGTTGTCGGTTATCTCCACCACATATTATTATTACTTATTTATTCAACTCCTACCTTTTCAAATCTTTCATCTATGAGCTTTAAACCTGAAATAAAAATACAAAACAAACTTTAGTTGCAGAACTGTGTTAACAGCAATGTAACATAAAACAAACATACAGTTGACAAGCAAAATTTGTTGGTTTTAAAAAACTTCTCACAAATTGGAAAATCTTACACATACTAAACTTTATCTAAACTCAAAGCCCCAAGATCTACATATGAATTCTCCAGGCTGAACTCTATATATTTCCTTAAAGAATCAGTAGGGAGAATTTGATTAAAGATCCAAGAATTTTCCCTTTGATGATCATTTTTTCTTTCTAATTACCTTTTCTCTTGATGGTGTATAGATGCATTGTGGGAGAAAATTGATATTAGTCACTCTTGGGACTTAGGGTTAAAATTTTACGTACCTTCATTTCTTCTCAGAACAGAGGATGTCATGGAATAGTTTGTAAACCTTGACTTAGTTTCCTCTTCTTCAAAGAATGACATCCCATCATTAGAATCAGAATCATCTGCCTCATCAGAAGGAATAAGTTCATCATCATCATCGGAATCTTCTTCACCACTTCTGATCAAATCATCATCACTGCAGATGACAAATATTACCATTCAGTCAGTGAGAGAAGTTTTTATAATTTTTAACAAAAAATCTGCTAAAAAAAGGACCTTTGAAGTGTGCACATAAGGAATGGTAGAGGTTTGTTGATAAAAATTATGTCCATTGTGAAATTTGCCTATTACAAAGAACAATATTACTGTCTCATTTGTTGACTACTCCTTTAGACAAAACACCAACCTAAATTTAATTACCTTTCATAGCCTTCTCTGTTTGCCTGAAAACAACAAAGACAACTTGTTTAGCAGTCAAAGCCATTAAATAAAGATTATAGCTGTGATGATGGTGGCAAGTATTCAAAGAAGCATGATATGACATCATCATCATCATCATCATCATCAGTTGACTGTCAGGCATCTCCAACTTTCTTGGTCTTGGTGTAATCCTTGATGCCATCCTCTGGGAAATGCTTTTTGGGGTTTATCCATTCCTGTCCTTGGTTGGATAAGGCCTTTTGTGGTCTCCCTGAGAGTTTTCTCCCATTGTCCCATTGAAGGGCTTCCACAGCTAGTATTTCGCATTTCAGAAGGCTGTGAAGTGCACAACCTGTTAATGGCTTTTTGGTAAGTTTTAGCCCTTTCATAGCCAGACACTGACCAGAAAATGGCTCAACTGCTGTATTTTATCGGCTATAACCCGAGGGATTTTTACCAAACTTTAGCCTAACTTGAATAAAAATCTGACTCGTAGAGGGGGAATTGGCTTATAGCTGTGAGTTTAACTTACCCAAAAATTAATGCCATTACTCCCTGTAGGTCTTATAAAGAGTATTTTTTAATTCACTGAGATGCAAAATAACAGCGACATTCAATACCATGAATCATAATTACCTTTATTACAAAGTCGTCATCAAGAACATTATCAGGATCATTTAAATCAAGTGCATCATCCAGGGCAGCAACAACATCAGGGTCCAGGTCTGGACGAGGGCCTGACAAGATAAAAGAAGAAAAAACAAAGTTGTAAGGATACGCAATATCACCAGCTGTTTCAGCTGGACTTCATGTAGTAAGTATTAGACCCTAATTCCACAGTGTTTTTCAACTTTTGATTGGGGTCAGTTAGCAAAGATCTGTCAACACAACTAAAAGAATGCCTTAAAATTATTAAGGATGACAAGTTAGAATATAATTTGTTGAAAATTAACGAAGATATAACAAACATCTGTAAAATTTCACAACTTTGTGGAGCAACAATAAAAAATCTTCATTCGCTTTTAATGTTAAAATTTAATGTTATCACCTTTAAACTTGGTAAGGCACACATTCCAGCAGTGTCAATGAATAATTTTGCCATCTGGTCTTTATCAAAACTTGGAAATAAAATGTGGAGGGGTTTATTCCATACATCCTCAATCATTTCTCTTCACTTTATTACACATATACTACTCTTCAATTAACTCAATTGATTAACTCTGTTGCAAACTAAATGTAAGAACATGTGCATTTAGAGAGTCATTCTCAAGGTCAAGATTTCAGGTTTCTTCACAACTACGATATACAACTATTGAGAATCAACCTAATTTAAAAAATTTTAAACTGAATTTAATTTTGACCTGTAACAGATACATGTATACATGTAGCTCTGCAAAATTCTGTGAATTTTAAAGACATTAATTTTGTATTGTGGGGTGAAGAAACTTGCATACCCTCACCCACCACACAAATGTCTGTATAAAAATTTTGGCACCCTTACATTGTATCATTCCAAACCTTGGCAAGTCTACCGCATTTTAGCCGCTCTTTCCAGCAACATGGATGGATTTTCCAACAAGTTCAAGTCAAAGTTCAAGCCTGGAAGAAGGGTCTATTCACTTAATAATACACACAGACATGGCAGAAGAACATGGACCTTAGAAAGACAGTCATTATAAGTAGGCTGCTGTAATGAGACACTAGATTTAAATTACCAAATGTTGGAGCAGCAAGGTTAAGGAGTCCTTCAGGCTCTTCATAACTTGAGGCAAATGCTTCACTTGGTAACTTTACATTACCAAACTGACAAATAAAACAGAAATAAAACAACACTATTATTAATATACAATGTTCTGTTAGTAACAACACATTGAAGAGATGTATGACATAGAGATTTACTACCTTTAACCCGTAATCTTTTAAGACTATATAACAGATATATTACTTATTTTTATTTTTTTTGGGATGTTTTTTCTTGGTGTTGTGGAAACAATTATTGTTAGTTCATTTTTGCATTGTGGAGTGGGTATTGTTTAGTGTGTCTTTACAGTCTTTTGTATTACGTCAATTGGTGATCACACTGTAACGTCCGCAACACCAAGAAACTACCACATCTTAAAACTACTTTGAAGCAGTAATTTGTCATGAGTACCTTAAATTGATCTGTAGGTTTCTTGGTCTCTACCACAGTGACGTTATCTGGTAGTGGCTCTAGTGACAAATTGGTGCGAGGTTTGAGATGCTGTAAATAATCATAGTCATCATCAAAGAAAATACCATGCTGGTGTTCTTCATCCTTATTCCTTCTTTGATTATCACTGAAAAACAAGAGATAAAAACCACAAACCTTTTCATTCTAAAAAAGCAAATATAGTTCACTTTAAGCTTATACCTGCCAACTCTCATGTATTGTGCAGGAGTTTCACAACTGTGGACTAAGGGACTGTTCATTGTTATTGGGAAGGGGGGCTGGTGGGATTTGATGGGTAGCATCTGCAATATATAATGGCCCCCCTCTTTATTATAATGTGCCCCTCCTTGTATCCCAAATTAATTGAGATGAACCTCCCTCTCACGCATCAAGGACAATTATTTCGCACTCCTAACTCACAAATCCTGACAAACGTTCTTTAACAGATGATTAATAGTAAAAATTCAATTGAAATTTCATGAAAATATTCCAAAAAGGCTTTCAATGATGACTCAGGGTGTGTTCCCTTGAGATGATACAGTTTAGGATCAGTGATCTGAGATGGCTCGGAACATGGTAGATCAAATGAACAGAGTAATCTCGGAACATGATCTTGATCCTGAACATCCCCAAGGAATGTACCCTTAGTGTCCAAACGAAATCAAAACACACTAAAAGTTTTGTCTTTTTAATAGCTTCAGAAGTGCTCAAAATGTTGTTTGGAAGTCTTCGGAAAGTTGTTGGAAATTATCAGAAGTTGCTGTGTCATGACAAGGTGAAAATCTCATGCATTTGACACAGAAAAAGTTGGCAGGTCTATAATTACAGAAATGTTTGTTTCACTTGCATGTTTACTTTAGCCTTGTTAAGTGGAAAACAAAAATTGTGAAAAATAATTGTAAAAGGAAGTGTAACAATGTACTCACTTAGAACCACTACCACTTGTACCCTGAAGACAAAGAAAAAAATATTACACTTGTGAGCGTATAAGCTACGATGGCTCTATTTCATTTCTTATCTATACAAAGGCTCCAAAAGAAATTTTTACTCGGTCAAGTCTCATTTCTGACCAATAAAAAAATAAAGGAAAAAAGTTAACAAATCCTTTTGTTACTTTCTATTTGTGAAAGTGATTGTATTTTTACAAGGAGACAAAAGTGTAAGATCTGTAGGTGCTCAGGAATTAGCTCTTTGTTCAAAAATGAGAATGAGCATGACTGGTCAACATGACCAGCAATTGAAGTTTTGGGGCGGTCCAGTTGCTATTCTAGCCAGACATTGTCCATTGACAGACTGTTATTTTGAGCCCAGATCAGAGAGTTGCCTGAACCTGAATTGAGGCAAAAAAGGGGCTTGTCACATCAGAATCGAGCCCTCCATAGGTGCCAGTGAAATGAGGGCAGCGGGAATCATGCCTCTATTTATTCATTATTTTATTTATTTATTCCAAGACTGAACCTCCTAACAAACCTACTAGTCTTGAATATAATAGTCCAGCTTTGAGTTCACTGTGACCGCTGAATAAAAGAAGTGAAGATGCATCTTTTACAGGCTTAGCCTCCATCTGAAGTAAATATATTCCAAATTCCAACGAGACGAAGACTTGTTTATTACTCTGTCTATTGTGTATTTTCAAATTTCAATTAAAAAACACTTACTTGCTGGAATTTGTGAATATTTTACGTTATGTCAAGGCTAAACCTATATGAATGTGTCGTTAATGTTTGTATTCAGCGGTAATTTTAAATTCGAAACTGGACTATTAAACCAAAACCTGCACGGCCAGATGGCCAGTTTTTAGGAAGTTTTAAGACACCTTGGACAAAATGCAAAGCTGGATGATCGAATTCGAAAGAGAAAATGGTTACAAAATTAATAATACGAGAATAACAGAGAGGTATCAGCTGGAGTCAGGGTTGTAGGAAGTAACTATGATAAACGATGGATCTTTACCTGATTTTCAGAATCTAAGGGCAGTAAGACATGCTTGGAGCTCTCCTCATCAGCTTGAAGAGGATCCTTTTGACTTCGATGAACAAGCTGAAAACTATGAGCGCTTTTCTTGTCTATAAACGGCTTCTTTCTCTTTCCCTGTAACAATCATCATTTCAATGTAAGTCAGAATACGACAAATGATTATCTATTGGCAAAACCTTACAAGGAAAACTCTTAAACAAAGCTTACCATTACTGTAATTCCTTCACGTGTTACCGGCCATGTTTTTCTTGCACAACTCGAAGAAACGTTGAGCCTGCGTTCCTTATTCGCGGTATTTGCCTTACCAATTCATGCCTGAAGTAAGCCAACACAAAGTATCTCGCTTAGGAGCAAATGAATTCAGCCTGGCTGTTCTGCCTTATATTTTGTACGTTTTTTGGTTGTCAAGTCTCCTTTTATCCCGCAAGATAATTTGTACATGCAATTGTTGGGATATTGAATGGCTATTGCATATTGGAAATAATTGTTGAGACCTTCAATTTGTGGAACAAAGAGGAGAGCCCGGGGAGAGGGGGCGGAGGCACTTCCCAATAACAAGCTAATGGGTATGTGCCGCTGGATGGAGTCGCATTTTCACGACTGGATTGACTATTATGGAATTGCATTTTTATAAGAGTTACTAGAGTGGGGTCGCATATTTTCAGGATTTTGGGGGTCAGAAAATTAAGGTATATAGGGATTTAAAAATAGAAAGATTTACACCACACTATTAAAGTTTAACAAATGTGTCAGATCATTTTCGGGTGACCGAGTTAAAAGGCTTTATAAGGTAGATGCATAAACAAAAAGTCACTAAGTTGGGATTGCGAAAATTACTTTTTTCCCAAAGTGACTAAAATGGGGTCTATAATAATATGGCCACAGATCAGAATAGACTATAATGGGGTAGGGGTTCTTAGAGGTCAGCGTCACATACGGGAGAAGAGCTAGAAAGGTAGAAAACGACACAGCACTTTTATTCCTGACCCCGCTCAATTGTCACTAGAGGCGACTGGTTCAGAATCACAGGAATGCTATTGAACGTTGAAAACAGTCAAGTCCAAAAAAGCTAACAAAAACATAGAACAGAGAATTCTGACGGGCCTTATTACCATTGCATTTTATTAACTATGCCCTAATGTAACGAAAAAAGATAAAATTTAATAATTTCTAACAACAATAAAAAATTAAGTGTCAGCTTGGGTCATCCGGGGGATGTGAAAGAGAGGCCCTGGCAACGAGATTGAATATTGAAACGTGCTTCCGAAAATATGGAGAAAATTATTGGGATAATCACCTCCAACACCTTGTAACTTCTGAGCTTTTGACTTAAACATAATAATACTTCTCAGTCTAAATAATTCATGAAGAGGTAAAGGACTTAAGAAGCAATATCAGGTACTCACAGAAAGTATGCGAAAAAGAAACTAAACAAATTGTTAAGCCTTGTTCATCACAAGACGAGCAAAAAAATTTTTTTCTAAAAAAACTAACACTTCTTACGAATGACAAAGTTCAGCTGAAAGTTTAGTGGACGGCTCAATAATAATAATAATATTATAATTTTCACTGCAGTAATTAAGCCAAGAACCTTATTATTCAAATTACGTGAGAAATATTGTTTAAGTTTAGAATTGACTAATCATCCATTAAAGTTACAGTGCTTTATTTGTTCTAAGGAGACGGCGCTGTTTGCAAATTGCATTATTTGTACCATGGATAATAGAAAGACTGGGGTCAATTATCCATGTTTGTACATGAGTCTGTTGACGAAGCCGATTTGATCAAAATGGAAACTCAAATACCCCGAATCTTTTTTTTTGCAAAATGCAAGTGACGAAAGGAGTAAAGTAAAATTATTAAACTTCTTTTCTCACAATCGCGGAAATCTACAATAGAAATAGAAGTTTTGTTTCCGCAATGGAAAGATAACAAATCCGGCGTTTCATTATCTAACCTTATATTGTGCAGGTGCAATACCTTCTCACCGTCATAACTAATAAGTCGCACTTGGGCATCACCTGTTTTGATCTGTCAACCTCTCACGTCATTGGCCAAGCCAAAATACACTACATTTGTGTGCGGATTTCTTGTTTTGTCTTTCGGGGCTATTGCAGTTTCGGTTTGATTCGCGCACAACAGTGCAATATTTGATTTTCATCAACAAACTGCGAACTCAAAACGCAAAGAAAATCGGCGTTTTCTTTGTACGCCATGTCGGCTTTGAGTCAAGCTATACGGAACAGGCGATGGAGGCAGGCTCGTTTGTTAATCGAGGCAGGTTTTGATATCAACCGTCGTAGCCTAACAGACAAGAGAACTGCGCTTATGGAAGTCTGTTTCCTAGACGACGAAGATAAAGCTCTTGGTTTAGCGAAAAAGCTTTTGCAAAGCGGCGCTGAACTTGGTTCTCAAGACGCACAAGGACTTACGGCGTTGTCATACGCGTGTATTTTAAAACGGAGAAAACTTGTCAGTCTCTTCCTACAGGCTGTGGACTATAATTTGAACACAATTGATCGCGATGGAAACACGGCATTGTTTCACGCAATTACGGTAGGAGATCTCTCGATTGTCGAGATGATTGTTCAAAAATTAAAACACTATGATCTCAGCGTTGATACGCAAAACCATAAGGGTGAGACGCCACTAATTCACGCTTTAAAAATCGGTAATATTCAGTGCGCAGATTGTTTGATCCAAAAAGGCAAAGCGTCTGAAGAAATTTGTGATCTTGAACAATTTAAAAGCGCTAAACAATGGAAAAAGGAACTTCAGCGCAAAGGAAAACGAATTATTTCGGCGCTTTACTCATCCGAGGATAAAAAGGAACACGAACAGAAAAAGAAGCGAAGAACACGTAAAACCGTCAGCGCGAAACCTACGACAGTCTGTACTTTGCCGCCAATAAAAGATAATACAAACACGAAAAATGTTCGCCCCTTCACAGCGCCGGGACTTCTCCCTGTTTCTGACTTTTTTACACCTTGTTCGCCAGTTCAAGAAGAGTTACTACATTTGTACGGAATCTATAATCAACAGAGGACGAGTTCTTATCGCCGAGGCTACAAATTTGCCCCGAAACCGATTAAAAAACTTCCTCCTTTAGAAGAAGAGATCGACGACAAAGAGAGCATAGACCGTGGCGAAACTCCGCAGGAACAAGGAAAGGCAAGGATGAGCTTTGCCCAAGTCAACGAACTGAGTAGTAAGATCAAAGGATTGCAAAGAAGTGCGAGAAATAGGAAAAGCACTGCATCACCGGCAAGTTCCGACGGGCGCGCAATATCAGGGAAGAAATCGGCCTCTTTTACTAAATTACTCCGTAAAGGAGAAAGTAAAGAGTTTACTGTCCCTGAGACGGCGTCATTTTTTCCAAACGAAAGCAACTGAACTGTTTTTCTAAGTTAACATTTGACAACATGTTTAACACGCCAACAACCACTCCGACGAGGACAACTAGAACGTCAAAAAGTTGATTTTATGATCAAAACGTGCACCACACTTTTTGGTACATTGCATGACTAAGACGGAAAATTCCCAAATGCGACGTTTTATAGAGGCATTTTACTAAAAGAAGGAACGAGGAACGAGGAACGAGGAACGAGAAGCGAGAAACCAGAAACGAGCACGGGGAACGGGATAATGAAAAATGGGAACAATACCTTACGTGAACCCTAGTCCTATCAGTAACTTCATTTCCATTCTTCTCCTTTGTTCCCATTTTTCATTTTTCCGCTCCCAGTTTTAGTGACATCCTTTATGGAAGGTGCGAACACACGACAGCAAATTTTCCGTCTCATTTTGAATTTGGGTCCTTAAAATTTTTTTCCCCCAAGGGGAATTCTCCTGAGGTTTTTATATTTCACAAATTGAAAAAGGATGAATAGACGCAGCAAAGTTTGAAAGAACGCAAATTCATTTTAGTGACGTTTTCACAGCCGCCATAGTCGCGGTTGCGTCATATAAGCTCCTCAAAGACGTTTTGGGACATTACAGGAGGTTTAACTGAAGGGAAATTTTAAGAACGGTCATATCGTATTGAAGTTCAAGATGTTGCGAGGACAGCAGAAAGAAAATATCTTGAGTTCCAGCTAGGAAAGAAAATTACCACCGGGGAACGGCTGTACACAAGCTATAGGAATGAAGCAAGGAAAAGAAAAAGGTTTCCCTTCACAAAGAAAACAGTTAAAAACAGGCAGGGATTGTTGTTTAAAAGTCTCTGTGAATGAATTTAAGAACCCGGAGATTTCTGTGAACTAATCTTATCTGTTTTCATGTTTCCCAACAAAGCAGAAGAAGAGTTATGTCAAACGATAAGTTGTAATGCGATAATTTATTTTCCAGTTCGAGTATTATTGACTAAACTTACAAAATTTCATCAAATTTACTTTACAAAGAAGCTCTCATAAATATATAGTTCTTGCTACTTTAAATTGCTTTTCAGACTGTCCACGTAAGCGAAAGTAATTTCAAATGGTTTAAAATTTTTAATGTCTTGAGTAAATCAAAGCCGCAAGTGTTGAATACCATTCCCCAACATTTTTGCCCGCGCGCTTTTAAAATTTGTGTTGATATTCTCAACAAATGTTTTTATATGTGGACACAGTGGAACAAAAATATAACAGTAACAAATGGAGCTTATTTAGCAAAATTCCCTGTCGCAGTTCGCTTTCTGTATCGATCCTGTAGTTAAGCGTGGATGCTACTCGCGCGCGCAGAAGTCTTTCGCGCGTGTGATTGCTACCCCATTGCCGTCCATTTGCAAACCCCGTTGCGTCTTGTTGCGCAAAGTTTGAAACCGGTCAAACTTTTAGCTACGTGCAAACGGACCCAGTAACTCCCAACGATGTTGGGCCAACAATGCTGGGAGTTGTTGCGTCCGTCTGCTCGTAGCTTTAGGAGCGTCGTTCAGCATTCCAGAAGCGAACTGCACAGCAGAATTTCTCGAAATCATGTCGTTTATACATGAATACAAAAACATCGCGGATGTGGAAAATCACACCATACATATACGCCAACTTCAGCAAGACTGCAAAGAAATGAGAAGCGCATGGTTTTTGAAAATTTACGTTTTTGCTTATTGTACATAAGGGATTTCTTAATAATTTAACGTTATATTTATACATGTATCAATAATCCGCAGTCCCAAAATAACGGTCCCCAAAATTTCCTGAAAAACAAATGCAAAAAGGTTCTTTAGTTAAAAACTTAGCGTAGTCATAATTAGGTTACAATGCAAGAGTCGCACGTCTCCGTTTAGCCTGTTCCAGGCTATCGCTTAGTGGGCACGAGCAAAAAGAAAAAAAAAATAGAAAGAAAAACAAAAACAATAACGACAGAAACCGGCAAGAACTGGGAAAAGAGATAAAGGGTGTTTGAGCGTTTGCCCCTTTCCTCCCCCCATGTCCTCCTTTCTTTTATTTCGCGCGCCCCTTTCTTCTGGCCTCACTGAATAAACACAATTACCAGTCGCTGTTCGGGTAACGAGCCCGCGCTCCTCGTTCTTCTCGGGGAGGACCGAGAGAGTAGCGGAAATCGAGTCTACTTCACTGAGAGCTCGAACAGGATACAAAGGCTACACAAGCGGTCTTGAAAGGAAAGCGCTGAAGCGAGCGTGAAAATGGAGTGTGAGGCTGAGAAGAAACTTTTATCCTCACGCCAAACACACGCGTGAGGCTCGCACAGTTCCCGACTTACGAGTCAGTAGCGATTTAGCAAAAAAAAAAAGAGAATTTTATTTGAGTGTCAATGGATTTAGCACGAAAGTATTAGTTGCGAACTACTGGGGACCGCCATTTCACGTGGTCATCAGAGCCGCGCGAAGGTCGAGCCGCGATCAGTGCAAAGGGAGTGCCTTCATTTCTCAGTTATTTTACGACCCCAAATATTGATCCGAAATCCCTCTTGTTCTGGGTTCCCACCTGTGAACCAGGTTTAAAAAAGCCATTCTCGAATTGCCAATCAGGTTGAAGAGAAATTCGAAACGCAGTTCTCATGATTGGTTGAGTCCGTTAGGGGCCCAGAACAAGAAAGTCTCGCTGACGTCACTAGCCGAGCGTAGATTACGTCTGCGAACGTCTGTGACGCAGTGTGTAGATGCAACCTCGTCCCCAGGGCTTTTCCCACCCATTTTTTGAGAGAAAAGCCCTGGGGACGAGGTTGAGTGTAGATGGTGAATTTCTCGAAGCCTGTAATTCCTGTGTTTCGCAAAAAAAATTTTCCTATCAACTAAAAAACACCAGGCAATGCTTTCTTTAGTTTCAAACAAATGAAAAAAAGGGGGAAACTGATGGAAAAGGGCGAACACTTTCACCAGTTTATGAATAATCAGTGAGAGCATAGCCAACTAATAAAGATACTTCTCAAAAGCGGATCGCGTGGCTGCCAAAAGTAACCACTCAACTTACCTATACCGGGTATTATATGATATTTATCATTCACTTCGTGATCTACAGCAGCTGTGATTATTTTCACGTTAGGGTAGGCGTAGGCTATCGTGTGAACACCTATAGAAAACAGATCAATATGTTTAAATAAGCGTAGGCTAGCGTGTGAACATCTGTAGAAAACAGATCAATATGTTTGAGTAAGCGTGGGCCATCCTGTGAACAACTATACGAAACAAGTTAATTTATTTGGGTAAGGGTAGGCTTTCCTGTGAACACCTATAGAAAACAGATCAATATGTTTGGGTAAGCGTAGGCTATCCTGTGAACAACTATACAAAACAGATTAATATGTTTGGGTAAGGGTAGGCTAACACCTATAGAAAACAGATCAATATGTTGGGTAAGCGTAGGCTATCCTGTGCACATCTATACAAAACAGATTAATATGTTTGGGTAAGGGTAGGCTATCCTGTGAACATCTGTACAAAACAGATTGATATGTTTGGGTAAGAGTGGGCTATCCTGTGAACACCTATAAAAACACTGAGATCAATATGTTACGGTTACTGTCGACCCATGCATAAAACGTGAAACTGACTAACTTAACGTTTAGTAGAGGTTGTAACTAGCAAAATAAAATATAAGGTTTATTCTCCCCTACTTAATATTTTCTTCAACAGAGGTGATTACCTGACTCGGCTGCTATCAACGATAAAAACAAAATGTTTTCCTCTCTGACATCATGGTCCTGTAAGAAGAGAAGGAAATTTCAATTCACCGTTACACCTGTAAACTGTGAAAGAAAAAAAAAACGCGTTACAAAGCAGTTTTGCCTGTATACAAACATTCTCATCCCTCAAAAAAATCCCCGATTTTTTGGCGGGGAGGGGGCGTCTGTACACAGCCTAAATTTGGTCCGATCCGCACAAGCGGGAAAGCTGTTCATTTAGACACATCTTCAGTCATCACCAACGCCTAACAAACGCGGAAGGTTTGTCGCGATTTTACAAATTTTGTCTGAGACGGGGCAATCTGCAATTGGGGCGCGGACAAAACTTCTCCCTGGGCAAAATCGACTTAAATAAACGAAAATGTGTTGTTCTTGTCAATCATTTGTTGTTCTTTCACAAAGTAGTGACAGATATGTCAACCTGTTGAGAGAAAAAGTTGCCAGTGCGGATAAATTTTTTTAAAAACAGAAATTGTCCCCATAAAATTTTTCGTTTAGATATTTGAAAGAGAACTCCAAATTTGTCATCTTGTGCGGATCGGCCTTTGTGTCGAAAACACTAACCGGAGATCAGGCTCACTTTTGGCCAAAAGCCCACCGGAATTTTATCTACCAAGCGAAACGAAAATAGAGCCTGATATCAGGTTAGGAAAACACAAACGCAACAGATTAAATTTCTTCCCTGTATTTCAAACTGAAGACCGGAAGTCGCTATAACTTCAACCTCCAGTTTCAGTAAATCTCAGAAATTTAGACGTTAACAAAGTAATCTTGTCCAATGCAAGTGGTTCCCGAAATCGGAATTCCAGGAAAATGCAGATAGTACCACGTACCATACAAAGTACTGTTACGAAATTTGTATGGTCACACCATACGATCACCTTATTTGAATTTCAATGTGCTTAGCACTAAAGTAATAATTGAAGACACTATTTTAGTGTCTCCTACTATTTTACGTGGTCATCTGAGTCACGCGAAGGTCTAGCCATTTGCAGGGCAAAGGCAGTACCTTCATTTCTCAGTTATTTCAAGACCCTGAGTATTGGTCCAACGGATCCCACCCACGGCCTCCCGCTCTGCAGTCAAGCGCTATGGAAGTGAATTTCATCCAAAAACTTAAAAGATAGAACTACATACAGTACCATGTGATAAGACTGCTGAAGAGGTTTCATTTACATGGTTACACCACCGGATTTCTTCCACAGACTCGCAAAAGTTACAAGGACAGACGTACTAAGTAAATAAAATTCAACATGTAAAGGCACGCTGAAGACGTCTCATTTTTGATGACCACACTACAGGATTTCGTCAACGGACGGAAAAGTTGGAATATCATCAAAATATCTCCACAGAAGTCCCCAACACTAGGAACAGTTTTCCGGGGACGATTTGTCCAGGATACGATTTGAACGTTCCCGTCAAAAACTGACGAGCCAGATTACTCACCAGCAAAACTCTGATGGCCATGAGAGCTGTTAAAAGAATAAAAAAGGTATACTTTAAATGACATCTAATAATACAGCATTGAAAACTGAAAGCATGAGCATGACTTGACAGAAAAGTCGCTGTTACTTTAACGGAACCAACTTTACCGAAGCTGTAAGTCAAGTATTCTTCACAGAGTGTCTCTAACTTTAGACGAGATTTCTGAATATCAATGAAAGAAAGTAGCTTTCTGACTTGTTAATACACAAAGTACAGCATTTTGCTTTCTCCGCGAAACTACGACAACGACCTCCCGTCTTGGTGCGTCATACGCGACCCTTTTTTCAAAATACAGTATGACACCTACTTCCTTGGAGGAGTTTTCCATTTACACTTGAGGACAACTTGAAAAAGAAAGTTTGTTAAAGGCACTGTGTCACGAAATTTGACGAATTCAAACGGCGAGAACTGCCACAAAATTGGAAAAACCTTAAAATAACCGCTCAAAACATTACAAGAAGGTAAAATAATACAGCAAATACCGAAGTAAGAACGGATGGACGAATTATGGTTTTTTAAACTTGTTCGCTAAGAGTTCTCGAAAGTTCATTTTTGTTTGTCACGTTTGATATAATGCTTGGGAGACATAGTAATTTATTCGATGACGCGGCACTGAACTAGACAACCGTGATACAGCTCCTTTAAGGAAAATCTCCATCACGGAAAAACTTCCTGGTGTAACTGATGAAGGTTTACCTGCCGCCCCTGTGGCGAGAGTGGCGTCCATAAGAATCACGTGATCCTCACTGATGCCTTTTGGAAGACGATAGTAATGAAGCTAGGAAGAAAGCAAAGAACGACTGCTATGAACTCATATCCATTATTGAATTATGAAGATAAGGCAAACAATGTTATTAATGCAAGTGGAAAAGCTATGAACAACTGTTGTCAAGCTTGAGATTGTAATTTTTGGAAAGTTTCTTTGCGAGTGGTATACCTACCCAGACCTGGCAAGTGACACGTCATCAGTATGGAATTTCTGCGCTCGTTTCTCAGACGTCATTTGGCGGGAAAACCAGCGGTAGCGTCGACAAATGTCGGCTGTTTTATCAGGCTACTTCTGAGAGGACCAAATGAACGCTGAAATTCAGGTTTACTTGTTTTTTTCAAAGAGTCGCTCCAGGAAATTCGCAATCTGCTCGGCAGGAAAATGTGGCGAACGCAAGTATCGCTTGGAAGTTTTCTTGAAATACCACCTATCGCTAATATCGCAGGATTTGCTATGGGTTTCTAGCTTTCTGATTGGCTGTATTCTTTATGTAATAAGATAAATGTCGGTATGTTATACGTCCTCATACACCACGTAACTACGACTTAACCCGCCTCGAGTAGCAAGCTACTGTAAAAACGAAACTAGTATCTTTCCTAAAGAGAAAGACCCACCTCAGGTTCAAATGTCTCTTCATTGGTTTGAATAAGGATTTTGCCTATTCTGACATCCTTACAGACAGACTCTAAAGCTGGCTCCATTGTTTCACCAGCTCGAAGAATTGACACCCCGCACAACTGAAATGAAAAACAGACATTTTACCAATCAGTTAGTCTCCGACGCAGCCGTTCTTAGGGCTTCGTCAAGCATTCTTTCGTGAGACAGCCCTAAGAACGCCTGCGTGGTTATGATCACACTGCGGTCTCTTATTTTTCTCTTTTAAGTTAGTGTTAGTGAATAACCCCCCCTTACATTAAGTACCGTGAAGGGCACACAGAAGCCGCGAGCCAAAAGAAATGCCGGCGTAAGCCAGTTGACAAGTCGCTCCCAGTCGTGCGGCGTACCATATCATAGAGATTAAGATCTACGTTTATGCCAAACGGCAAACGTGAATTTGTACCACGTGACCAAGTTTTTTCCCTTAATTGTCGTTTACTGTTTATTACTTCTACAAAAAAATAAGTAGTTTCACGCCAGTTTTATCCATAAGAATTGTTCTGTACCGTTTTTATCTGCTTATTTTCTATTCTGAGAAATTCTCAACTTGAATCTGACGTTTGCCGTTTGCCGTAAACGTGACTCTTAATCTCCTTAATAGCGAGCTTAAGCAAAGACGTTTTTGAGCGACGCGCGTCAAATGGAAGTAGGCTTTTTGCAGTCTTGGCCGGAGGTTTTTCCCACATTTTTGGGCAAACCGTCTCTGTAACAGTAAAGACGCTAAGCGCTAAAAATTCGGTAGAACCGAGGCATATTAAAAGAGAAAAGGCATCACTTTCGGTTGACGTTTGCCGCCTTTGCTGAAGCTCCCTATTACCACGCGCGCGTTTCGACGCACGGACTAAGAAGAGAAAAGGCGGACTGCGCCGTGTCAACAAATTATTTTATTTTGTCTCCATCTACAGGTTATTTAACGATTTCCCTGTACGTCATTACAATACTAATTAACTCAAGCCATATAATTAAAAAGACAATTTTCTTACCCTTTTCCCCGCAAATTTTCTTCCTTCATAAGTTGTTCCTTCCATTGAGGTAACTACATGTTTCTACGAGACAACAGAAAGATGGAAACTTGAGAAACATCTCCTTGTCTGTACGAGAAAGATGTTTATTCAGTCAGTGACACAGCCGGCTCGGAAGAAAAAAGTTTTTTTGCACTTACTTTAAAAGGTAAGTGCGAGAGAGCATGCTCAATAAGTATTCTCATCAGCCTCTTGGAATAAAAGATAAAATCATCTCGACTGGTTGCTTCATTTCTGCAGACACACAAATACGACAGTAAGAGAGGTTGCGCAAAAGGTTTCACGCATTGATTGCAAATGAAGACATCAAAGCTCGAAAACTAGCTGATAAAATAACATCCTACTGAAAAGCGAGGGAATAGTAGTCTAACCTTATAATAGCATGAAGTCCTCTGACTTGTGGTGTACTTTCAAGTATACTGAGTGAACAAGGAAGAGGCTGACCTTGATGCGCATAACGAAGTTTCTCTCTGCAAATTTAGTAAGACACACGACTTTATTATCATTACGACACATTCATATACAATGGAAAGTCAGAAGGAGAGATGACGGTAGATTTTGAATGCTAGAACAATCCAAAAAAGACAAAACAACATTTAAAAAATCTGTTTCGTCTACTTCAACTTAGTTGACAAATGTTGGGCAAGATTTCAACGAACAATTATAATTTACACTTCAAGAACTTTACCCGGGGCATGCACGTTTTATCAGTATGAGCCTGAGAATCTTTTCTCGTTAAGCTATCACTTGGTAACAAAGTAATCACTGAAGAACGTAGGTTATCAGAGGCTCTTTCATTGACAAGGTCCAGGGTTTAGTTGAGGTTAGTTTGCAAGTACTGCTTCAAAATGACAAAGAACTGGTTGCTTACCTGAAATTGAATCCTCTCTATGAGAGCAGAGGTAGAAAAGACAATTAATGGTTAGATCTTGAAAGCTGTAACACTAAAAAATTTGTAACGGGGCACAAAAACCCAAAGACAAAAAAACACACCAAAAGATATTATAACATAATCACTATATTCACTTCCATTGTCGATCACGATCTTATGTCATATGGTTCTAGCCTATGAGTTTGTGGTGTGATAAAATAAAACCCTTTGACGGAACTTTCTTCCCAATGAGACCATTGTGTGTTTTTGATAGCATTCAGATAAAAGTTGGCAGTTTTTAACTTTTTTTCGTTAATTTTAATCTGGGACACTCCTTGGAGCTAGGAAGACTAGTCCCTTGCATTCCTTAGAGTCCCTTGTCATAGCAACAAAAATTCCAAATACCACTTTGTTAAGTCTCAAAAAATTAATGATATCACGTCAAGGTACTGCTGAAAAGATTCACTTGAATGGCCCCAAACCGAGAGGGACTTGGTAAGAGCCCCTATATGAAAGGGATTATCCACATGACACCTCAATATACAGGAAAAGCTCACCGAGCTTTACAAAATTCTTTAGTTTAGTGTTTGCTCGGCCTACAATTTAATGAAATACAGCCATTCAAAATCTCCATATTTACTAAGAAATATATCAACGTCCGGGACAAGCTATCCGGTAATCCTTTTCAGACATATAACCATAAAAAGGTTATACACTCCTTTGTAAATTTTCACTTTTTTGAGCTGCTTTATGTTCTACAATAGTGCCCGATTAACACCAAACTTGGGGATTTTGTAAAGCTCAAAGTGTTCTTTCTGACTATATGGATCTTATGTTGATTATCCCATAACATACGGGCTCGTACCCAGTCCTCCTCAGTCTGAAAACTAGCACTCCTAAGTTAGCCTAACCATTTGTGTATTGATTCTAGGAGTGAGAGGTAGGCCTGTTTCCCACCACTCTCTTGGGCCTTCCCCACAAAGATACGGCTAGAGGTTGAAAAAAAAACCCGGATCGTTTATCAAATTCTCTCAAGTAATTCTTTAAGGAAATGTCTCGAGATCCATTTTGGAGAATTTGTATGCAGATATTGGGACTTGAAGGGTTAAACCAACAAATAACAACCACTGACCTGTTCCAGCTGTGTTCTCACATGACGTACAATCAAGTCTATTGCAACATTATTTTCTCCACCTCTGGGAACAACTATGTCTGCATAGATCATAGTGGGTGCTATGTACTGATCAAAAGCCTGAAATATGGAAAGAAGGGTTTATTAGTAGGCCATGACATGATTGTCTACATTGGTATAGCCTTAGGCTGGGCAATACTTACAGGTTTCACATAGGTGTTGTACTGTTGCAAGACACCAACAAGATCTCTTTCCCTCTCAGTGATGTCTCTCTTTAATCTAATGGGTGGTTAAGAATCCAACACAAAATCAACACATGAAACTTAATCAAGTTAAACAAGAGATATTGACAATAACCAATGTTCCATCGTCAAAGTGATCATTTTTCACGTAACATGACAGATGGGGCCCCTAATTCATCCAATAACAATATTATTAAAAGCCTCACATTAATTAATTATTGCAACAGCCACTTTAAATAAATTTTCAAGAAATCTTGGGTGGAAACCTTGTGCATCAACATAAAACTATAAAATTTGACATGAAGGGAGAACGAACCCTTACATTGTATATATTAAAGTATATCAAAAAAGCTGAACAGGCTGAAAAGAGTAAAAAAATGCATCGCCTGCAATAACAGCCCATATTTTCTGAAGCTTTCAAAATGAAATGGTCTGAGCCATTTGATTTTCCTACCATACTGGAATTTCTGGACGGTACGTACCTTGATCTCCAGATGGTAGGCACCCTGATCTCTCAGAATTTTTAAATCTACATGTTGACTTGGACCCCAGAGAAATTATTGGCTCCAGACCTCACATAAGTTGACTACATAATATCTAAATTTCAAATTGGCTGTCACAAATACCTTTACACTGCAAATTCACTTTTACATTATTGTTGCAAAACTAAATTTCATGATACTAGAGTATCATGTATCGTGTCCAGTTCAAGTGTTTTATGAGAAATTAATAATACAAAATTACTTTGAAGTTAGCTGACCTTCTTGACAGTCTAACATCAGGATCAGCATCAACAAAAACCTTCATATCCATGAGCTAAAAAGAAAACATACATATATAATATCATTCTAAAAATATGCAAATAAGACGATGAAACATCTGTGAAGAACCAGGTTAACAAGGTTATTAGGACAAAATATTCAGAATATTTTGACCACAACAAATTTCCCTCACAACCTCGTGGGCAAAAGTTTATAAAAAGAACAGAAAAGCCCCTGGGTGGGGATGAGAACAGAGTTGTCCCACAGTAGTTACATAATAAATGGACACTTTGGGGTAAGTATTTATAACACTGGCTCTTAAATATGCCACAATGCCTTTCAACCCAGGCAGGCTGTTACAATGTGGTGGCTGCAATACCGATGATAACCAGGCCCCAGTTGTTCAAAAGGTGGATAGCACTATGCGATGGATAATCGAATGGATAGCGCAATTGGTTTTCCAAATACTTATCTGCTGGATAGTGATTTATCCAGTGGATAGCACTATCCAGCTTTTGAACAATGGGGGCCAGGCCCACATAGTTCAAAAGCTTGATTGTGCTATCCACTTGACAGAGATTTCTCCAGTGGATAGCACTATTGATCTTTTGAACAACTGGGGACAAAAAAAAATCCAAACAGAGAGTACTAGTCTTGAAAAAAATAGTCAATAACTAGTGAATGAAAACAATGTACAGATTTCCAAGACCAGCAAGACATTTTCTTGGAACAGGAGTTCAAGGGTTTGATGCTGTTAAACACTGCACACAGGAAGGTAAGTGTACTGTACAGAAGGGTACTTTCCACAGAGATATATCAATGACTTTGAAAACAGGGATAAAACTATGATCTGAAATCACAAACTAAGAAAAATACAGCTGAGACAGGTCAAAATATACCTGTAAATATGCAGCCCCCATTTCTTCCCCAGGACAATTTCTAACTTACATCTCTCAGGTCCTTATAAGCAAATGCCATGATTCCCTCAAAGATGATGACATTGGCACCATATAAATTTTTCTGTGGAAATAGTCACAGAAAAATGTTACCTATTATGAATTTAGTACTCCCTTAAGTCACTCATTATAATATTTTATATTTTTATTCATTCAAAATATTTCTCCATTTCTGATTGGCTCCAATCCCCCAACTAATTCTTCATAACCAACTGGCACTTACCATATTTGGAAGATAGGAGCAATATACCATCAATTTGATGGTATAAATTATGATATATATTGATAGACCTCATTTCCAGGTGTGGCTGCCTAGGTGCTTATTCTGGAGTGAACTAAAAAAGAAAATCGTTTTCACGGCTATTCCAAGACATTTTAGCTGAATTTTTAACTAACTGGATGGAAGAAATGAGAATATGCAAAACATATTGCTTGATTGATGTTATCTGCTTTTCGAGTAGCATCTGCAAGGAAAAACATCTATTTACATCCTGAAACCATACCGAGAATTAGGCCAAAGTTTTGACGAAGTCTACAAGAAGGTAAGCTTGTTAAAAATATTTTGAATGAATAAAAAACAATAATTATTATATTAACCACAACAGCACAATTACTTTAAAAAGTAAGCGTGAAAAAAAAAATTGAGAAAAAATTAATACTCAAACATATTATAGTATGCTGGACAAAACAATTCAGAACTAGCTTTTTGCAAAAATGGGAGTTGAGAAAAGACAGATGATTAATAATTAATAATGTTACTGATAAACCGCAGTAATGTTTATAATAGCAAAAGCATACCTTCTGTTCAAGCCTACTGTGAGATTTGAAGTCATAAATGGGTATCTTTAAGAAAAATGACAAATCATCGCTTGTCAAAAAAATATTTAAAAAATTGCCATGAGAAAAAAGGAAAGATAAAAAAATCAAGGTTTTACCTGCACACTTTTTCCTTCCTTTAGCTTCTTCAAAATTGTTGCAGCTAAGTCATGATCAAACGAATCTAACGACAAAAGAGTGACTTAATGAGATTATAAGCCTGATGCCATGTCACTCGCCAGGTCAGTCTGAATGTAAAAATTTGGCAGTTTTTGAACACTTCAATTTTGGAACAAATTTGCCTAATATATGCCATTTTTCTATGAACCCGTTCAATAATTATTAATAATTTTGTTATTAATAAACTCACACAAGACACTGTCTAACTTCCCAAACATTACATCTGTTGCTCAAGGAAGGCTTCAATGAGCCTTAAATAAAAACACAAAATGTAGGAGTGTGGTACATCCACATGCAATGACAACATTGAAATTAAAGTGCAATGGATTCTGGTTAAAAGGTGGACATCAAGATTTTTTATAGACTTCTGTAAATTTGATTATCCCTGCTACTTGCTCAGTTCTCAGCTTTTTCTAAAGAAATAACATCTGTCCTAAATATCTGCCCCAAGTAGGATGGGGAGGGCAGTGCTTAACAAATTTACAAATAATTTTATAACTTTCCTGTTGAAAATATGGCTTTATCATCAATACTAGAGAAAAGAGGAGCCAGTTAAAAAGCTGACACAAGGTGGTCAGCAAATATAAGTTACATGTAGTAGCATGAAGTCTTGAAGTTTTCCACTAAAGGCATCTACTGTCGAGCCTGTTCAAAATGGCCACCTTGGGGAAAGAAGAAAGTGGCTGTTGTAGAGAGGTGGCCGTTCTAGAGGACTGTTCAATAGTGGAGGTTCGACTGCAATTCTCTCCATTGGTAGAATTGGAAGTTTAAGATTTTGTTATTTTTACCTGGATGATCAAAATTGTATTCATTTCTCTTGGCTGCCTCATGTTGTTCAGCGTTAAGTACCTGTCAGAATGCAATGAGCTTGTTTTTAAATACGAAAAGCATAGCGTCACAATTATTTAACAAAATAGAGCTTCTGAAAGCTGGGAAAAACAACCATCTAACAAATTTCCCTGACTGGCAAACAAACATTAACCATGACTTTGTTTTTTACATGCCACCTGACTGACGTCTTAATAAGAGCCCAGCCACTGAAAAGAGTTTCAAACCTCTTTCACTTTTCTTTTTTACTTGACATTTTTACCAGTACAGGAAAAACATTTCCTTCTGGCCCTTGCTGCTCAAATGCTGGATAGCACTAACCACCCGAGCCCAGTTGTTCAAAAGGTGGATAGCATTATCTACCCGATGAATCACTATCTACTGGATAGCACAATTGGCTTTCCTAATAATTATCCACTGAATAGTGATTTATCCAGTGGATAGTGCTATCCAGCTTTTGAGAAACTGAGGCCAGATAAATCACTGAGTATTAGGGAAACCAATATTACACTGAGTGAATAGAGATTTATCCAGAGGATAGCATTCTCCACCTTTTGAACACCTTACAGATCACTCTAAGTATGATGCCTTGACAGGACTGTAATCAAGGCCTTTGGGCCAGGGATTTCCCATGGCTATTATGAATGTGGCCCCCAGCTACTTTCACGGGAAACCAAAAGAAATCCCTATAGCTGTTTGATTCCCAGGCTACTTGTTGTATTTACCCAGCAACTTGAAATCTTAGTGACATCCCTACTTGATATTGACCAAGTTATTGGACGAGCAGGTTCGGTCAAGAAGGCTGGATATTGGTCAAGTTCTTTTCCAAATTTTTAATGAATGAGGCCAATATTATATTGGCAAAACAAAATATTTTCTTGCAAGACAAAATGGGTTAATCCCACAGAAAACATAGTTCTATAGAGATAGCCATATAATAACTAGTCTCAAGAGCGGTGAAATTGTGATGAGGCACAAACACCAAATATACTGTCTATATTCACCTACAATAAAAGAACTGCCAATAGTGGGTTATTAAACTTAAGCCTCAACAACAAAAGAACAACAACAACAACTAAAAAAACCCACCTTGTAAAATGAATCAAGTGAGAGCATGCACACCCAAGGAACCCCAAGTTGTTCTATGATTTTGTTTGCAACTGTTGTTTTGCCAGAAGCACTTCCTCCACACAAACCTGATGATGCAAAAGATGATATTATAAGGCACCTTGGCGTATTTCTAATCCCCCTAATAATAACAGTAATAATAATTCCTATATTCATCCTTGGCAGTATTTATAGCACTTTTGCTAGTAGGGCCAAGCAAATGACTGAAACAAATAATTCAAATATCATCAAAAACAGGGTTAAGAATCCCAACTGGCCTGAGACAAACCAGCTGGTTATTTACAAGCGTGGTCGAGGATTTGAACTCTGGACTACCGTGAACATATCAAGCTAGTGGTCAGGGTGAGACTTAAACTCGGGGCCCCCGAATTGGTTGTCCAGCACTGTAACCATTTGGCCATTCTGCCTCCCTGGATGTGATGCTAGATCACTGCATGGTTACCCAGAGCTTCATGTTGCCTCTACCCATTAATGAGGGCAAGTAAGGATAAATTTTGACAAGCGGCCTTAAAACAGTGACATACAGACATAAGACAAATGAAATGGCAACACACGACATAACGTTGGGATAAAACTGCGACAGCAACAAGAAGAATACAGTAGTAAAATATTGGCTTCTCCTCAACTGGTGAAACCAAGGGTTTTTTGAAATTCAGACTAAAGAAATATGTACTCAAATGGACTCATCAATAATTTAAAACATGAACTTTAATTTTGCTTTTCTGGCTTCCATACAGCCAGCCTTCAGAAGTACACTTATGGACTTCAAGATCGTTGGTTTGAAGTCTCTCAGTCAAAGTTTTTTTTTAAAATTAGTATAATAAATTTTCTCCAAGGGTATGATTCACCTTTATCATACAAGTTTAATTTTTATTTTCCCTTAAGTCAGATTCATGATACAAAGGAGGACAAATTAAACTGGTTTGAAAATTTCAAACGAAAAGTGTCTGAACCACAAATTATATGCCTATAAAAGGATCCACAATATTCTTTCTAATGCTGTTTTATGGCTTGCTTTTAATCTGTCTGGCCTTTTAAATATGTCATTATTAGTCATTTTGTTATATCCTTATAAAAAGGCTATCAATAACACTTACATGACATGCAATTTCCTAAAACAGATTTTATATTTTGGTATAACACACCTATGACAAATGGCTCTTTAAGTTCTCCATGCAAATTATACCAAGGTGGACGGCCTGCAGAAAAACAAAATATTGACATACAGTAGTTAGCAAAAACTACATTGTGCCAGCATGGGTTGCAAGACATGAAAAAAGTCATGGCACAAACACAGTCTCTCTCTATGCTTAGGGTGCTCTGACACATGAAGACAAACACATTACTCCAATAAATAATGTTGTTGAGACTAGCATCGTACACAAAATGACACTGCCTTTAAATATAGTAATACAACAAGAAAATTAATCACTGGTTTGATTTGTGCTGCCTGATCATTACCTAATTTTATTTAAACTTTGATAACTAAGCTTCACCACAACTTGACCAATTAGGAAGTAAAAAGTCATTTTTCTCAGGGAAAGTAGCAGTTTCATTATCAGAACTGCTGCTAATGCTGTGATAAAAAAATTAGCAATTTATTCATCCCCTCAAAGCAACAAATCCTTGGAGGTGAGCATCAACTCACTTAAATAACATTGTTTAGACAAAATTAAAAATGCTTTTTAATGAAAAGATCCTTTAAATACAGTGTAAAACTGCTTTTATTATCTTCATAAACCTTTTTCTTCAAAAACATCCCTTAACCTGGCAAAAAGAATGAAAAACAGAAGCATCCTTTGAACCAATATTGAAGGATGCAATGAAAGGTTTAGGAACATCTGGGCCAAAAACCTATGATTGTCACTTAGGATACCTTTCTTTAGAGAACTTATTCTCACATGAACAGTAAACAACCCCACAAAGATTAATACAGTAGAACCCATGTAACTCAAACTCTCAAGGGAAAACAGATCAAGTTAGCGAGGGTTTGAGTTATCAGGATTGATCAAATATTCAATTTGGCATTCTAATAAATTTCCCTGCACATCAGTGTATAGTATAGTGCAAATTTACTTATTTCATTTGAAAGGGTAACATGATTATGAATTTTTATGATAAAACATGATCTGTTCTTTGCACCAGTTAAGATCAAATTGCTGTAGGGTTAATTTTTGTGTTTTTACAGATTATAAAACAAGAAGAGTAAAAAGATGGCATCCAAGTGGGGTTCCAAGAACAAGATTTCGAGTTAGTTTGAGTTAGCTGGGATTTCGAGTTACTCAAGCAAAAATGACTGAAAAGTGGGGTGGAATCCAAGGGAAATATCACTTAGTTTGATCTGGCGATGAGTTTAAGTTTTTCGGAGTTCGAGCCATTGAGGCTCTACTGCAATAGCATTTTGCATCTTAATCCATGCAAAAAGCAGGATAAATGAACTTTTATCACAGAAAAAAAAATACAGCTGTCTCTCTTATAGTGTAATAACCATTTTATAATAAAGGCTGGTTTCCATAGGGTCGCTACCACTGCTGCAATGACAGCAAAGATCACAAACTGAAAGTTTGTTCAGCATTCGCAGGGATTACTTGGAAACAATAATCTTAAAAAATAAATGTTTAATTATAGTGGTTAAATAGACTTTAGTTTTACTTTGTTCCTGGCTGTCATATAATAATATTATCACTACTGTACTTTGCTAAGACTGCTCAGATTGCTTTAAAACTTTTTTTTAGCAACTGTAGCAATCATATTAACAATCGTACAGTGCAAACCATGTTTTACTAGCTACAGGGGTGTATAAGGTCCTTTCAGAAATGGAAAGTTTTCATGTATCATAATGACTAACATGTACACAGGTGGAATGTAGAGAAGATATTAAGGCTGTGCTCTCAGGGCTCAAAATAACGGACAATAGGTCGCTGGTCATGATGACCTGCCAAATAATTTTTAAGCCCGACAAACCCGGAGTTTGGCTGGTCAAATAATGAATACAATGATTTTTTTTCCTTATATGGAATATCAAATTACACTGGCAATAGATCGTTGTACTGCATTGACGTTCAGGTTTTTAGCGGCAAGTTGGTGAAATTCATTCACAAGTAGTTGAGTTCCTTTCCGGGGTTTTCCCCCACTTTCATGTCCGTTTATATACAGTTTGACTTTGAGTATCATCGTACGGCGGTGTCTCAAGTCTCCAAGTCCCACAGCTGCATATCAGTGAAAGTGATCTTTTTCGTTGCCCGGCAGGTGATTGAAAGTCTCCTCCACTAAATATTTTGGGCGAAGAAGTTGATTCTGGCGAGAAATCCATTCCACAAACAGTGTATTTATCATCAGAAGTCAACAAATATACAGGAGAGCTTTCGTTGGGTTGTACATCGCGCAACACTTTATCGTGAAGGGCTCATTATAAACGTCTACAGAAATTTGCATAAAGCTGTTTACAAGAAGGAGGATTTTAAGCGGCGAGATAGGCGACATTCCTTTTCGATTAGCTAAAATTTTTATCAGGCAATTCTGCAATTGAGTCCACAAACGAGATTCATGTTCGACATAAAGAAATTATATACAATTACTTGATGTGCTAAAATTTATTCCTGGAGAAACAGTAGAGGATGTGGAGAATTGCGATAGATTAACCCGAATTCCATCAAAGGTGATTTTCACAATCCTCTTACAAGTAGATGTGAAACGTTAGATTGACAAAAACTGTTAGCTATCCTTTAGTTTCCCAACAAATAACGTGTATGTTTTCCCAAAGAAGGTCACATTACTAATCACAGCAAAGCGGAAAGAACAGTACAATTTGCAGTATCATTGCGTTACTCCACAACTCAGTTTGTTGTTGTTTCGTTTTGCCGCGTTTCATTACATGACCACATGAAATTTAATGTGGCATTCATTTTCTTTAAAAGTTTTAGTCCACAGCATGAAAAAAAAAGGCAAAGAAAAAAAAATGATTACAGTGTTATAGAGCAAAATGCATTAAGCAGCAACTATATGGAAAATATTTTAAAAGGTTTGCTTCCAAAAATGACCAGTCAAAATGACCGGCAAGATGAGAGTTTGACCAGTCAAGTCCACGATCAGGCTGGACATTGTCTGTTGACCGGCTGCTATTTTGAGCCCTGGCTTTAGCAGAGCCCGGTGGCCTGTGGCACCTAACTTTTGTTCTTAGGCGACTAGAAAATCATTGCTTTTTTTATACAAATCATATGCTGGGCACACTGGATTTCACAAGTTCAGAGCCTGGGCTCCCTTCAATTTTTCTTAGAGTACAACCTTGGATAAAGCTTTTTTATTTAAGCCATGGAATGAAAATGATAGCTGTCCATGAATTGACAAATTTCTCTCTTTTTTAATTTTGAAAATGTATGAGGACTTAATGGGGGCAGGGGGGGGGGAGAGAGGCAGTCTCTCATTTGAAAGTGAGTGATGAGGATTCTTCAACCTCATCCCTGGGGCTTTTCCCTGCGAAAATGGGACGGGCTTACCTGCCCCTCTCATTTTCTAAGGGAAATACCCTGGGAATAAGGTTGGAGGATGTTCATCATCTTGCTTAGCAGAGGTTCTGGTCTCTTTTAGGGTGATCATGATGGAAAGCAAGTATTTGTACCCAAAAGGTACAAATGCTGTTCTTCTATAATGATAAACATCCTTTCACAACTTCCAGCAAAGTACAAAGACTAGTTTTCAACACTGCATAATCTTTAGATTCAGAAGATAATGTCCTATCACAAAGCAGGTAAGAAAAAAGCTAGTGGGAAACTGGTAGAGATATCTGTCCAAACACGGACTACACTGGTGTTGTGGACTGTCTGTAATACAGGCTAGGTGAGGAATGGCATTGATTACACCAGGAATTTTTTACACCAGAGTTTTACTGTAGCTTGAAAAGTATTGTAGGAAACAGTAAGAATGCGCTGTTTTGTAAAGTCCCAAAGGAGATTGGATTTGAAATGTGAATAAATTTCAATTATGACACTGAGAATGGGAGAAGGGTGTACCTCCAGGTCCTTGAAGCTGAATTTGATAGAGTTCTAATACATTTCCTCACATAAATGTGGATTTTGGCTTTGCAGTAATCCTGCTAGGAGCATTTCATAGTTGAATCTTCAATGTCTGCAACATTGATGACTTTATAAATAAAATTGGAAAACACTGCTCCAGTCTGGTCATAAATGATGATTTAAGGCCAATGTGTCACTACCCTGCGAGCAGAGGCCCTTTGATCTTCCTAGATATGTCCCGACTTATCTAGGAAGATCGAAGGGCCTCTGCTTGCAGGAGACCCTAAAATTTAAAAGAACCTTTTACTTTATTAAAATAGAACTTGCCCAATATAGATCCCAATCCGTACGAGAGGAAATTCCACTTGGCCTGTCCTGTTTCTCAGAAACAAATACTCTCAACTAAGAATTCATCACTAAAATGGACAAGGTGATTTGATGTAAAATTGCACTAAAAGGGATCCCTGGCGCGTCAATCCAGTGCAAATATATCAAATTCACATAAGGATACGCGCACGCACGTGCTAGCACATACACGCAAACATGCGACCACAGTTGAAATAACATACGAATTACTTCACGTGGATAAATGATTCGTGGACTTTGTTGTCAAAAACACTCACCTGCAGTGTAAATTGTTCTGTTAGAACGTCGAAACACCCTGACATTATCGGGTTTATTTTTCAAGGGCGAGCTAGGAGTCTGAGGAGGGGCATCGCCGATACTGCGAAAAGAAAAACGATAAGGAAACTATATTTCAGTGAATAATTAGAGAACAATGTAAACAGGACTAGAAGTTACCTTTCGCAGCTTCCAGAGCTGTCTTCTGTCGGAGAAATCGATCTTACATCTAACTTCAGATCACATGGACGGTGAGATTTTTCCGCCATGTTCCTTGCTGCGCAATAGCCTCTGCGCACATGTTCGAGTAAACACTGCTGTACAATAACATGACCGTGGGCGCGTTTATGCTTGTCATGTCAAAAGCCGCATGGACTGAATTTGGCAAAAATCAAAACTTGGGATTATCTCCAAGTTCCGGCTCCTAACGCCCACAGAACGAGCTTAACATCAACCGTCCAATTGCTTTTTTCATAAGAGGAGTTCAAATTGTCCTGTGTAGTGCAAACACAACTGAGCAAATTTGTGATTAAAACCAACTGACCGAAAAGACAATACTTGGATAAAACCAAAACTCACTGACACCCCGGCTGCCACAAAATTAACAAACTGAAATCAGAATATTAAAAAATTAATTTCTACTCTTTTGGGCCACTCTTTCCTGGTTGTTGTGATTAGCTTTTTGCCGGCAGAGTTTTAGAGTTATTAGAAGTCAAGTTTGACAATCACCTGATAAAATTGGAACCATATCACTTTTTGTTTTGTCTTTAACATTTCGGGTACCAAAATGCTTCCAAGTTATTAAAAGCTGGTAGCAACTCAAAACGCGATCGCTTTCTCAAAGTATTATTTTAGAGTCCATGTCGAAATTTTATATCCCGGTAGTTTGTAATATTATTTTCCAATCGGATATGGGTGTAATTTACATGGGCTTTCTTGGCTCCCGTGCACGGGTTTAAATGTCAAACACGAAATGACAGGTGAAACTTCTTGTCACAAAATGTTCCAAAATACTTCCCTTTTACATTGGGGTGAGTAATTAACACTTAAAACATTTTAAAACGTTTTAATATTACTTTAGCTTTTTCTTGAGCCTCTCTTTGCCGGTTTGTAAAACCAAAATCAATTTAACATAACAAAAGTAAATCTCTAGACAAGAAAAGGTCATAAAGAGACGACAAAATGCTTGCTTTCGCTTGTTTCGAGTAAAATTTTAATTGCCATTGTTCGAGCATCTCTCGATCACTCGGAAGAACGCGCCTGTGACAGTACAGAGTTAAAGAGCACCTCAACTATATTGTATTTAAAGCGAAAGAACGAAAATATGTTAACGATTTTCGCTTACTACATTTTTTAAACGAGACAAGTGAGCGCGTATAGCAAGTTGGAAGGCCATGGGCGGTCACCAAGTGACGTACGTAATGACATAGCCTGCGGGACATGATATTTATTAGCATCTTCAGACTGAAAATTGCTTTACCCAAATATTCAAACCTTCTTAAACAGGCATCTAAAATAGCGCGATTAACAAAACTACCAATGTGGCTGCAATCACGACAGGAGACGATTTTAAAGAGATCAGAGCGTATTTCTGCTTTGGTTAATTTGACAAGCTTTTGTTTACGCAGCGTTTGACAGCTCGGAGATTCTCATCCCATCCGAGATACAAAGATGACTGGCTCGTATTGTTCATAAAACAATATTCAAGCATTGTAAATGCAGCTTTCAAGACGAACAATACGTGCATTGGACTAAACTTTGTAGCTCTGGTAACGCTGAAAGAATTAGGATACTTTCGCAATTTCAGCCGCAAAATAAAGCGATCAACTTATCCGAAAGAAGAAACCGATAATTTTCGACCGAAGCGTCAAACATCCGCGCGTGCCACACCACCTCGCATAGCTCTTTAACCAACGCGCTAACAATTTATTCCTGTTGTTCTTAATGTGGTTTAAGTTGAAATATAATAACTCATCACAGTCGCTTAATTTTCATAAACAGAATATCTATCTCTACCAATATCTCCAAATACATTGGAAAGCGAACGCGTCGGGATCATATCAAAGACCGCAGGCAAAATATAATCTCATTTGTAAAAAAAATTTCATTTTCTCTCAGCTTCGGCACCTCAAATGTTTGCTTTAGCAAAATGAAAGAAAACTTGGATAATAGACTTGCGAAAGGGCAGTCAAAATTGGCGTTAAGATCTGAAACCTGAAGTAAATACAATCGCCGTATATCTCGAATCCACGTGGAAAATTTTCCCAGTTGTTCGCAGAAGCCAATGAAATGCGAGCGCAATTTAAATAGATTGTCACAATAAGCCAATCGCGTGTCGTTATTATATTGTAAATTACACAAACACACAGCAACGCAAGACTGCACACACGCTTTCATCTGTCATTAGTGTCAAAGTCTCTGGGCTGTTACAGGTTTCGCAAACACTGCTCTGCTTCTAATTCTAAGCTCTATCCTTTCTGAGAGAAACACCAAGACAGCCTCGGGGAGTACGTTCCGACAAGAGAGATGGCTCCCCACACCGTCAAGGGGGCGAGGAACAAGCGATACTGTAAGTTACAGAAAGCCGGTTGAAACAAATGAATGTCATTTTGCAGTAAGCCGTCCAAATGCGCAACGCCTCTGAAATTCTGAATGAATGAGTTGTGCTTTTGACAGTGGCAAATTCGTCGTCCGGGGAAAAATTCTCTCGTAGGACATTAATTTTTTTTAATTTCTAAGGCCCACATCTTGTTAAAACTAGGATTCCAGGATTCTGCGGCTTCAAAGAATGTCGGGTTCCAGACAAGTTATGTCTCGTGATTTCACTGTGTTCGCTCGCGGACCGATGACAGTTGTGATAGTTCATAAGATCAATACATGTCTTGATGAGCAAAGGGCACCAGAATTATCGTGTGCCACTTCGTCGCCGCTACGTCCCAACAAAGGAATTAAATGGTTATTTTTTATTCCTAAATTGCTTTTTAACAGTTATTGTTATTTTTTGTCTCTCGCAGTGGACGAAAACGTGGAAATTTTCAGAGCGGAAGGCGAGAGGGTGCTTCGCGCATCACGTGTCACAAACGCCAATAGCCCACCGCCCAAGAGAAGAAGAGGCAATTTACCGAAAGATTCGGTCAATGTTCTACGAATGTGGCTCTGGGAACACAGGTTTAATGCTTATCCCTCCGAAGCTGAAAAGCAGTATCTTTCGAAAGCCGCTAACCTCTCTGTGCTTCAAGTTTGCAACTGGTTTATAAATGCCAGAAGGCGAATACTACCCGAGATGATTCGTCGAGAAGGCAGAGACCCCAGCAATTACACAATCACGCGAAGGGCGAATGTAAAGAGTGCTTCATCGTCTCCGAGCAGTTTTTATCAGCGGAGTCTATCTCCCAGCCCTGAGCGACAATTCGAACAAGACTTTTCACAGCATGATTCAGAGCCGTATTTTCCTGTATGTGATTACAAGGGACAGTTTGATAATTACGTGGGTTGTAAGAGCCCCCACTCACTCGCTCACGGACAGCAACACGAGTGTGTCTCCGAAATACCGTCTCCTAATGAGAATTCATCACCGACGCCAACACTGGACGCTTTCAGTAGCATAAATTTATTGGTCGAAGTTGCTCTGAACATGGACGAATTTCGTAAACAAGGCAAAAAATGTTTACAAGAGGTTGCTTCATTGTCATGCTAACTCCGAAGCAATTTGAAATTTATATCGCATGTAGACTTTGTGTTTTCTCATTGTTCCGGGGACCCCTTTGTACATTTTAATGAATAATATATCACTGGCCGGCCGAACAGTGAGAGACCTGACACACTGACAAAATCGTGTAATGCTACCCGTACCACACAGGGTACTTTCTATTTTGACATGTCAAACTTCACTGGGCGCGCGAGTCGCGGACCTTCCTTTCTCAGCTCGAACCGATGCGTGGATTAAGACCGCGGAGTTTCGCGAAATTTAACAGGTCTGAAATTATGTAGATGTGCTCATTGTTTTATCGAACGCTGTGTAAATAGAAATCCAAACTGTCGATTGGACGGAGTGACGGACTTCTCCGCCGGTAACCTAAAGGAACAGGGAACCACACTCGACTTGTCATTTGTTTCCAATTTTGTGGCTCGGTCGTGCCAGCTTTGACTTTTGCTATCTGTGGAAATAAAAACTCGAATTCTTGAACTAAGCTCTTGTTGTTGTTTTTTTTTGGTGTTTTGTTTTTGGGTTATTATGTCTTTTAATCCTCAAGTGCTTCGTTCATGACTGTCACAGGTCCCCGCTCGCTCGCAATCTTCAAACTTGTCAGTGCGACAAAGCCCTGTAATACATTCCAGTTCAAATTTATCACCGATCGTCGCAGATCCAACAAAATTCAGTCGTTATCAAGCGCCAATATCTCATCACCACCATGATGGTAGGAAACTATTTTCTCTCTAAAGATAAAGAAACTTAAGATAGCCAGCAATTATGGATGCAAATTTTTCAGTTTTAATTTGACAGGGCCTTAAGGTCCACTTTGATTGGATTGTCTTTTTCGAACTTCTTAGAGAGCTGCATGATTCGCGTGCTTTCCGGTAAAAATAACCATATAAAACGGGAAGATCTTGTCAGTAAAGACCATTATTACATACTGCACTCGACAATATTGTTTTGGGGGGTTTAATAAAACGGAAACACCATCAACATCCGGGTGAAAGACAAGACCACCAAATGCTGAAAAATCATTTTGAGGTGAATATTCAAGAGCCTCAAATTAAAATAGTGCCCGGTCGCTTTAGTTTCAATAGCAACACTTAAGGGCTTCATCCAACGAGGAAAAATGTCATCCAAAATTGCCAACTTCATTTTTGACCCTGAGAGAAGAACTGCGACGAATCAGATTTTAAAAGCCTAGCGTCAAACACGGACTTATCTTTTACTTTTAAAAATTTAACTTTGTCAGTTTAATCGTTGCTTGATCAAGGGTTCTATATTTTTTGTGGTAGAATCAGTAGAACGTTTTTTTTTTCGCGCATTTTCCAGCGTTTAGAAACACAACCTGTCGGACAGCTGAAGAAAGAGTAAAATGAACGACTGGTTTGTTTATTTATCGTTTAAAATACTAATCATTCTAAAGCGTTGAGTTTGGGGAAAATATTTTGCCAAAACGCGAGAATTATCACGGTCTAATACTGGATATTCCATTCAGGCATAGTTTGAGAATCTTGTATCGCCGTGGGCCAAAAACATTTTAAGAAGAAAGGCCAGTGTTGCATTCTGGTATGCGATAGCTGGCTCAGTTTTGGAGACAAAAGAACAAAGAAAATACTTAAACCTACCGAAAAACAATTCAACTACAAGCAGCCTAAACGCCACCAGACAAAATATTCTTTTTCTTTGCTAAAACTAAAGAACTTTGGATTTTGATACACGGGCAAATTCCCTACATACTGCTGTAGATGCGAGTCGATAAATCCTCACAGGGCTTTCAAATGATATGGACTGCGGTCACATTTGGCACAGGTAGATGAGATTAACTCTACTATCGTTTCTCTGTAATATTTCTGGTAAGATAGCAGGTATTATGTAGCACGGGACATGGATACTTGTTTCGTTTAAAACTGACCTCTCTTCGTTCGTTTTAACATCAGTTAATTTTACATAAGATAAATAAAGAGAACCGTTTCAACTAAACTCGAGTTTACGCCGTACGAACATACTTGGGCAGTGTTCTCCGGCTAGCTACATGCTTTACTTCTCAGTACCATCTTTTATTGTTCTGGTCTCACCGTACTGACTTCGAAAACAATCGTTTTCCCAGCAGAAACAAAAAACTGTTTCTGTGGAAACAGCAAGACTTTTCAAACATCCGCGCTTTAAGAATGAGCGAGTGTTAAGACCAATATTGGAAAATTATGTTCTTCAAAAAAATTCCCTTAAAACGTAAATTAGGAAATACAAAAAATAACCGAGCTCACTTAATTCGAAAGACTTATTTAAAAGAAAGGGTTTTATTCGCAAATGGCTGGTAAAAAGCAATAGAGCATTTTAAAGGAACAATGTGTTACTTGGACACAATGAAAACACTGTAAGAAAAAGACGTTTTTAATAAACATTAAATTTTTAAGTAAAGCGAGGCAGCTGGCTATCGGGAAGAAAAACGCGACGCCTTTTAGCTTTTGCCAACGAATTCAGTTTCATTCATTAATGGAAATTAGAGTGGCAAAAAGGCCAATTACATGAAAACGTGCATTTCCAAGTTTTGACAGATGGGTTTAAGTTCAGACTGTCTCCTCAACTTGCATGTACCAGTCTCGAGTCTTGGGGGTTTCCTTCCGCAATTACAAGAGGTTACAAGGAAAACACAACCCAAGATTTGTCTCACTAGATGAGAGAGTGACAAGTCAAAATGTACATTTTAAAATTCATTTTGCAGAGAATCACTTTGCTCACTTAATTGCATCTCTGTTTATAGACGACCAATATGAAAACTATCTTAGTACCCCAATGATATCAGAAGTAAAAAAGAGGAAAATGTAGATTACTCTCAACAGAGAGAGTGGAACGTTTAAGAGAATATGAACTGAGCATTGTATCGCAAGTATTACAGCTTGACTTTGTTAAAGGAAAAAGAAAGCCAGCCAATTTCACTGAAACGCCAACTAAAATCAAGGGCTCTGACAACATATGTAAACAAATGTGGAGTCAGTTGTCTTATTATGGGTCACGTAATGTTTTAGCGACTCCCATAAAACCCTAAAAGGGCCAAATTTCGACAAAAATACTGAAAGAAATACACATCCATGCATGCGAAGCTTTCATTTTGATGATCAAACTAAAACGTTTAAGCTTACAGACTATATAACACATGTCTTCTTTAACAAAACACCAGCAACTTGGCCGACTAGTTGAAGCTCTTGACGCTGATAGTAAGTGTTGTACTGAACATGGCACAGCCGGAATCACTCTTTTTTTGTATGAAACAGTAAACTAAAGAATAAAATTGGTCATTTATTTAAATGCTTCTTCTACGGCTTTTTATTTTTTACAATCAAATATTTATACTTTGTTCGTTCCTCAATGTTCCTTTTTAAACTGGATAGTGTTTTTTCAGCGATACATGTAAATAATCTCGCGTTTCACAAAATAGAACGCACAGCTGGGCAAATGTAAAGAAGAAAGAGAATTAAAACTTAAAAAACAATATTGAAAACCACTTAAAACCTACAGCGCTACATCATAATCGATCATAAACTGAAAGGAAAGAAAAAGACAAAGGGATAATTTATCCTGGCTCAAATGAACACGGCGAAAACCCCGATGTTAAAAGGATACGAAAACGTCTAAACTGAAAAATAAATCGCCACTTTTCCCTGCGGGCGTTGTCACTGTCACGTCTCTTCTACTTTGCACCATCTTGTCTCCAAGAGGATGAGAGTTTTTTAAATATTACTTTTTCCTTATCAGATGATATAATGCAATTTTTGGGGGGAGGGGAGGGGGGGGGGGGGGGGGGGGAATTGTTATTTGTTTTCTTTGTTTTTTTGCTTGTTGTGATTTGAGTGGTGAGTGGTTGTTTAGTGTTAGGCTTGAGGGGGTGAGGGGGTGGGGGGTGGGGGTGGGGGGGGGGGGGGGGGGGGGGGGGGGGGAGAGAACTATCCCAGCTTTTTAATTTGCTCTGCAAAATCACTGAAAAAATTATGCGGCTCTTAAAATATATTTTTTTTCTGACAAAGTGAGATTGACTTACAAATGACTGGAATGTGGTATGTTCATCATTGTTCGGGAAAGAATAGTTACTACACTTAATGCCCAAACGGTGTTAAGAATCCAATAGCACCTTAAAATATCATGGGCCTCATGGAAAGACCACCAAATACAAAAAAGTACTCTTACTAAATACATCTCCTCGGTAACCATGAGAATCAAAAGAGTGGGAATAGTGAAGCAAATATCGACTTTATATTGCACGGTTTAAAATGAAACCTCCTTTGACCTTTGAATGGCCCGACTCCTCTCAGACGTGGAAGCTAATAAAAGCTTCAAACTAGCCTCCCGCGCAGATGGCAGGGCAGGGACGCGTGACGAACCCCTAAGAACGTCTGCGTGGGAGGCTATCTTTAAACCTCATTTTGCAGTTTTACTATTAATCAAAATTCACTTGTAAGTTCCAAAATAATTAATGTATCACTCATGGAAACGGAGTTTCGTTACAAGGATACTGTACTCCCAAGATAAACCTGACATAATTTTATTTCGAATGAATTTTAGAAGATCAAATCTTTTCTTACTTTTGTTCTCCAATTAAAAGGAGACAAATACATATCCTTTCATGGGTTCACTGGCATAATTGAACATATTATTGGAATAATATATATACCCAAAACTGGAATCCATATTTTGCGAGATCATTCACAGAATATAACCAAATATTCAAATTATAAACCGATAGGCATTTCGCCTCGCGTCTGGGCGTTTTTCTTTTTGAGCCTAAGTATCGAGTAAATATGCTGCAGCCAGAGAAATTCTGGTTGCAGGGAAGTTCCTCTCTACATTTTGTCAAAATCTATGAGCTGTTTATGACCACGAGATGAACTTCTCTGGCAAGGAATTGCTCATGCAAAGCCCAGACTTCAATTGAGGAAATATAAGGAATATTATTCATTACGCGGAATATGCATTCAATTATCAGCATCTTAATCCTACTTTTTTACCCTTCAAACTTCTTTTGAACCCTTCATTTGTTGCAATAGACAGCAAAAAAGTCAGGGTTTCCTCAACCTCGCTCTTTGCAAGGCGCGAGGGGCCAGCGTGAAATTCACGCGCGAAGCACGCAAGCCTCACACGTCAAAGAAGATCTTCATTGACCCTCGCTCCAGATCTTTCGTTTGACGAGTGCATGTTCGTATTCCTCACCAGCGCAAATATGCAACCGTCCTTGTGTTTTCCTAAATTAGGTAAGAATGCAACTGTAATATGTTTAGACAGCCTGACAAAACGCATTTTCCACGTTGTCGACGTAATTTGACCACAGCTTCCAAAACACTTCAGCTTTTCGGTTTTTTTTGTTCAAGAGTAATCGCATATCAAAAATTCGTTGGACGTGTGCGGTAAAAATATTATGCCGTTCACATAAAAACAATAGAAACTCTTGTGAAAGTCATTTCCGCTAGAAGCACATGGTACGTGAGAAAATTGTTTATAATGGTGAGACAAAATGAGGACCAGATCGTACTTGTGAGCAGAAACGTGACTGTTCTGGGACAAGTCTGCTAAAATGTAACTGAGGCGCTGAAAAAAGAGAGAGAGAGAGAGAGGGATTGCCAAAAGGCGGTCCAAGAAATCTCAAATTTTCTTGTCCAAGCTTGGACGCACGCTCAGGAACTCCCAAAAAAGCCAACAGATTAGGAATGCATTCTCTTACATCTAGCGCAAAAGAAAGCAAAAGCGACATGAAATCTGACAGTTGTAGTCTAAGAGAGAAGGGGTGAAGGGAAGGGAGGTAAACAATCCTGTATGTGTACTATATTCCCGTGGGGTAGGGGGCGATACTCCAGATTCCAAGTGACAGGGATGATCGAAGGAAGGAAGGTAGTAAAATTTGGCAAGTATTTTTTTGGGGGGTGGCTTGATTTAAGTAGGGACTTTTGGCTATTTAGAACAATCTGAAGATTCCTAATAGTGCCTGCGCATCCGGCCGCGTAGTTCTGCGATTAAAGTACAACAAAACTTGTTTTCCCTTCTGGAGATTTTTACGGCTCAGAAATTCTGTATGGGATTTTTGAGGGGTTAATTTTTGGTGCAGGGATTTTTTGGGGGTTTTGATTTTGGCCCAATTCGATCATTCCTGTCACTTGAAATCCGGAGTACCTCCCCTCGGGACTATATGGGTACTTGTCGCAGGGAAGATGCGGTTTTCCAGGTGCTTAGTCCTTCAATAGGTTGCCTGAAGAGGCAGGGCCTGAACTGTTGAAAGAAGCCTAAACTACGTACTAACAAAACAATTCAACTCGGTTCACTTTAGAATCCCTTGTTTTATGAATACCCGCCATGTTAAGCCAAACGACCTCTTGGCAGAATTACCACTTGGAATGTTTCGCAACATTGCTGCCAAACGACTTGAATAGCGATTTTGCGCGTTTTACCACCCCCGAATCAAACCTGTCTTGCAACAAATCAGGTTGTTTTAGGTTACAAAAAGTTGTTGCAGAACCTAGAGAGTGGTTCTACGTTTTGCCACAAAATCTGTACATACTGCGCGTTTACGGGAAAGACACAAGGCAAACTTGATTTGCAGCAAGTGACTTAACTCCCGTGCATGGCGTGACTCCCGCGTAATTTTATCCAATCAGGAGTCAGTATTCACGAAACTTGCCTTTATTGGTTGCAAGACAGGTTTGACCGTGGGTGGTAAAACGTGCAACTTCGCTTTTCAACTCGTTTTAAGCTATGTTTCGAAACAAGTTGCACGTTTTTGTAGCTCGTTTTACCGTAGCTTTAGTAAAGAGAGGGAGATAAGATAAGGGCTACTGAATTTCCTTTCGAAATTATTTTCTTATCACGTCTAAGGACTGGTTACGTTCCGGAACAATCCCACTAGAAAATCCTTTTATCGACAGCTGGTGCGGCCCGAATGTTACTTACATGTTTTTTTTTATATACAGACTGATAATCGTAAGACAAATTCTAGAAGAAAAAGGAGGACAAGCGAACGAATTGAGAAAGAAAAATACTAAATAAGCTAACTTGCCCTTTGTGTGCTTCGCCCGAAACCAAACAGTTGTAAAGGGAGTTGTATATTTGCACTAGGAACGAAAGAAAACTTGGACTATCACTGTAAGTCGTCACTTTAGAACCAGTCAATGGGTGAAATACTTCTTCACCTTTATCGCGCGTCTATAAAGCCTTTTTATTTTCCTTGGACTTAAAATTGAAGCCGCGTGAAAAGGGTAGCAAAGGGTCTGTGGTCCACGTGCTCACGAGAAAAGAGTATCGTTGACGTCAGCAAGTACGTCACAAGTGAAAATCGACAGTTAGCTTTTTTGTTTCGTTCCATTCAACCCCATTAACTTGTTTCTTGTTAAAGAACGCTTATCGATTGTGCCCCACAGTAAGATATTACATGAAATAATGGGTCTGTCATTAAAGTTAATGATGTCTTCGAACGTCACTATAAAGCATGTTCGCTCTGAAAGCATGTTCCGCCGCCTACATAAGCCTCAGCTGCTATTTTCGGGCATGCTAAACTGAGTAGATTTTTCACAAAGTAAGATCAGGAAAAAGGCATCACAACGCGGCGTTTTAATCGTCAGGACGTCACGCGAACAATTTATCCAACTCTTGTATGCCTTAAGGTGATGCCACAAGAGACAATTTGCAACGACGATTTTTAGCGCAACACAGCGTTGCAACATTGTTGCGACATTGTTTCGAATGGTTACAACATTGTTCCAGCATTGCAACGTTGTGTTGCGCTAAAAATCGTCGTTGCGAATCGTCTTGTGTAAGATTACCATTAAACGCCTACGACTCATTTCTAAGATAAAACGTTTCGCAGGAGTTATTTCTCTCCTTTTACCGATAAGTACGCAAGTGGGCATGAGAAGATTAATATCAGTATTTTGGTGAAAAGTGGTCGATAAATCAATTTACCAGCATACTTGTGTAAACTTTGTTAATGCTATTATTTAGGTGTAGCGTCGCTTGATATCGCGAAAGTTTAATTTGTCAATAGGAAGCAAGCAAGCGTGCCAATATTTTTGAGGACATCATAAACCTAGTTTTGTTTCTCAGAAACATGACCCTGGAAAGAACCAGTTATGTAAAAAGGTTAAAAAGAAACAGTCGGTCTTGTCTGTATATTCTATATGGCGCCAAAGTCACGTGCATTCACCCTAACCTCTTTTCATAATTCAACGCAAATAACCTTCGCAGGTTTCGCCTTAGTGAATGACAATACAGAAAACTGAATTTGCTACAGTCACGCTAGTCAAGAATAACTTACCAACGGGGGCGTTTATTCTTTTGTTTACTTCTTAATCGCTTTGCCGTAAGGATCAGTTTGCCGTTTCTTGTTTAAGGCTGGCCGACCTGACCTTTTGTGATTGCAAAAAATGGCAAAAAACAACTTAGGCATTTCACGTCGACTTCTTCAAGTAGACATTATTAAACTTAAGCTATAGATTATCAATAGCACGTGCTCGTAACTCCGTTGAGTTATTTTTCGTTTATACAAAATTAATCTTTGTCACTTATGTTGCTACAAATATACAAGGCACTTACAATATCGAAGATATTGTGAAATTTTCTAATTCTGTAACAGGCGACGAACTTACTTTAAAACATGAGGGCTAATTTATTAAATTACACTCTTTTCAACTAAGTCACTATTTTTGCTATAATCGAGATATAAATTATGGTACTGACGTGTAATTTTCAACAAGGACTTTATATTCCCACGACGCGACGGCAAAGATTACGTCAAAAAAGCAAAAAAAAAAAAAAAAAAAAAGGATCCAATAGGTTTGGTAGGGAAAAACAACAACAAATTTTCACGTGCATCACACTTATTTGTACATTTCTTTGCCGTTTTGCACGACTACGACGTGAAAATGCCAACTTTTACGTTATAAGGAGGACGTAAACAAGCGACGATGGAATTTTATTTCTCTTTGTGAACTTGGATATGGTCTCTAGAAACTCGACTCTAGGAGAGTTCGCCTACATCTGACAAAGTAATACACTTAACTACTGATTATTCCCCAACCCTGGCAGTGACAGTTATTGATGAATAAAACACTTAATTCCGCTCGTTCATTTTGCTTTATGACTTCAGGTACAGTTCTAAACAACGAGCAATTAAAAGAAAAGTTGTCCAGAAAAAAATTAAATTGTAAAAGTTTTACTTTATCTTCACATACACGATTAGTGCATCTAGGCTAGTTGCTCCTTAAGTTAATTCTTTCTTCACGTATTGATAGGCGTGTACTTTCAATGACCCGGATACGGCTTTACGGAAGCCATTAGACGAAAACAGAAAAAAAAAACATTACAAGAGAGCCCTGTTCAAGTTTTCAGTGCTTCTCAAAGGCTAATCCTATCTACATTTCGAGCAGTACAGCCGCTAGATTATCACAAGAACTTCAAAATGGACAGATTGAAAAATATCTATCCTTTTCTTTGTGCATGGCGCAATTATTTGCAAACAAACATTCAAAATAATATTTCTCTTCAAGAAATCACGAGAGATATATTATTTTTAACGAAAGGCATTCCCAAAATAGAATATATTGAGGTAAAAAGTCCCTCAACTCAAAATAGGATGCTATGATGCAGTCACAAACCAAACTACCCACCCACGTGCATACGTAAAATAGGCGTCAAAACAAATTGTTCCTCCGAGTGTTGTTAAGTGACAAACAGGAAAAAAAAATGAGCAGTATTGATATGGAGTGTTGAGTAGCCAAAATGACGGCAAGCCGGAAATGCCACTTTTACCACACAGTCTGGGAATTTTAAAGGAGCGCAAACATTAGGCAGGGAGGGGTGGGGGAGAGGGTGTACCCAGGCAAGTATTTTGGTATGGCTCTGTAGCCACCTTAATTTCAGGTCTAATCATTCACGATTGAAAAAGTATATCTGTTTTTCGGCATTTAAATACCCATAAAGCTCACAGAATATGGGTTGACACATGAATTTAAGAATCTTTCAAGAAAAAGCTCAAACACGCCATCAATGTAAAAATGTCAATGCGCGTCTGGTAGGGCTCGTTTATAATCGTTTGTCTCAAAGTAGTCGTGTCATGTTGTCATTGATACCGACCAGGTTAGAATTCATCTTCATCACTTTATCAGACGCCGGGTAATCCAGTAGTTATCCTATTTACAGACTACACAGCTATTTTGTTCACGTGGGCAAGAAAAACAAGACTGTGTAAACTGCGTGTTATGAACGGAAGTATTTTTTAAAAAATTAATATCGTGCTCTATTGATATCTTCTGACACCTGACATTATATGTTTGCGCATTATATCGTTTTAAATGCAATTTCGCGCAAAGAAAAACACACCGACTACGCATGACGGTGTAACCTCGTATCCAGCGTGTAATGGCCGTCCCTTCTCGCTCCACCCCCCTTTCGCTCTGACCTTAGTTGTTCATTGTCCAAAGGTGGATAACGCTATCCACCGGATACATATTTATCCACTGGATAGCGCACTTGGTTCTCATAACATTTATCCGGTGGACAGTGTTTTCTATGGTTTAAACAAATGGACCGGCCAGGTTGACTGAGAGCGCGCGGTGGTGGTAAGGTAACATGTGCCAGTGGGAGTGTACGTGAAATAATAAGGGTAGCATTTCGACAAAACGCAGGCACTCACGCCGCTGTATATATGTAGATATATCGTAAAATTCCGCAAATTAGCCCCGGGGCTTATATTTTTCAAAGGCACTTTTTGAGTAGCCTGCGCGCAAACGAAATTAAACTCTGGTTAACTCCGTCCCCCACTTATCAGAGTTTACTTATCGTCTTTTGAGGGGCGGAGGGAAATTTGCGTTTCAAAGTCGATTGGGCTTGCCTTATAGCTGAGAATAAATTTACCATTTTTGCTCTGTTTTACTTTGTATTTGAGAACAATTTTCCAAGTACAAGCCCAGAGGGCTTATATTTGAAGGGGAGATTTAACGGAGGGTTTTTTGCGTTGCCGGTTTGAGGGGCTTATATTTGGAGGGGCTTATTTTCGGAATTTTACGGTATAACTGCAAGATCCATTTAGAGGAAGTGCTTTCCCGGGCTGCACTGCATCCATGAGAGACGTAGGACGTCGAAAATTGTGGCGTAATGAAGAAAAACGCTAATTGGCACGACCTCTTCAACTCTCCTCAAGTATAAAGCCCTAGGATTCTACCTTACCCTACCATATCCCCCTGGACACAGGCTACGATCTACAGTACCCCTGCTTGGTGTTTAGATGTTTCCGAAACGGCACAGTAAAACAAAAGTACTCAGTTCAAACACGTCTGAACGCGGAATTCTCAACACGGGTGCTGAAAAGATAATTAGAGATTTTAAGATTGGCAAGCTAAAGTATCGGCGAAAGCAAACCTTATTTCTACTTTTAAAAAAATTGAGAACAACAATAGGTTAGACCAGAGTTCGTCCTTTATTGAAAAAAGGCCAAATATATAACATTATATGTACAGTCAAAATAAACGATCATTAAATCGTATCCGCATTGCGCCATTAGATACACAATAACAGGATATTTAAAAAACCCCAATATTTTCAGACTATTAGAATAGCACATTTTCCATTTTCTTTCTCAAACTTTTCAAACGTTTTCATCATTTAGTACCTACGACGGGAGAACATTTGTCATTTCTAACAAGATAGTGAATACCTTGATTGTCGTCCCAGACAAGTTCATGTCTTTTTTCGCGATATAACAGTTCAAGGTTTTCACCCCAGTGGTTGCTGCAGAAGTCAGGAAAAAAGAAGCCGATCTCCTTTTGCGCGGACTCATCTGAATCTGCAAAAAAGATCGAAATTATTAGCCGCGCCTGAAATCAGTGTATTCAGGTGACTGGTGTGTTATTTGGCGACAAATTGTTTAGACTGCGAGGTAGGCAAAAAAAATAGGACGGGAGGGGAGGAGAGGGGAAGGAAAGAAACCCCTCCCCTCCACCTCCTCCCCTATCCCTTTCGACGCCTGCCACGCAGGCTACGAATTGTTGCAAACGGTAACAACAACAAAACAAAAGTTAAATTTTAAAAGAGTTGTCTGTCAAGGCTGTCTAGTTCATTTTGTTAATAGTGCCAATTAGGCGTCCTTTTTAGCTATTCGAAATTATTTGTGAATGACAATATCAGAGCCTCGTTTCAAACAAGTACATGTATGTCTCGGAAGCGTTATATCAAATGTTACAAACAACAAACATGAGCTTTGAAATCCGCCTTGTTAAGCTAACAAGTTTTCAAAAAGTACAACCAAGAGACTATAAAGGGGACAGAGAGGGCATCCCCCATATACACCCTATTCCATAGGTAATTCGTCTCGAGTTATTTTTAACACCACAGATCTCAAGGGGGATTAGACAACAGCCAATCACATAGCGCGCATGTGTTCCGCGTGGATGACCCACGCTGAGAGCCACGCGTCCTTCACGAAATGACGCAGAACAAAATGGGGGAAGACGCGGAGAGCGATTTTGCTATTCCTTTTGTCGACGAAAACGACTACAGCGAGATTTCTGCGAAAGCTGTGTCAGCGAAACCGAAATTAAAAAAGAATCGCCCTTCCTCTCTTGTATAGAGCTAACAGTAGAGCAGGGAAATCCTTAACACACTGAATATTCTCTCAGGATCATTTATAATTTACAGTTTGAAGAGAGCAATTTCTGGTTTGATGTTTATTTTTTTCAGTCTTTATAGCGATTATTCCTACCCACTTACTTTGTCAATTGTAGGCGAACCCTCCTAAAGCTGAATTTCAAGGGACCATATTCAAGCTCAGAAAGAGAAATAAAATTTCGTCGTTGCTTATTTACGTCCTCCATAAAACGCGAAATTAGGCATTTTCACGTCGTAGTCGTGCAAAAACGGGAAAGAAATGAACAAAAAAGTGTGTTGCACGTGCGAAGTTGTTGTTTTGCTAATTAAACCTATTGTTTTTTTGACGTTCTAGTTGTCGTCCGCGTCGTTGGATCTTAAACTCCCTAAATTGTACAAACGACCGGTTTCAATAGACCGGCGAAATTTCTCATTTTATTAAAGCACTGAGGTTACGACAACTTCGAGTTAAACTGATTTCACGGGTTGTCAAAGAGTCCAGCGATTCCTTTTTCCCAGGTGAGCGCCGACTCATTTCGCTTCAATATTCAGGAATGCTCTCGATCTTTTTACGCTTTCATTGCCTCTCGCCCGACATGTTTTGCACGGCGTTTGGTCATGCGAAACCTCCACGAAACATCCACGCCTCGCGCGAGGTAACTTTATCCCGATTCTAAAAATAACTCGAGACGAATTACCTATGGAATAGGGTGTATATGGGGGATGCCCTCTCTGTCCCCTTTATAGTCTCTTGGTACAACTGCAATCCGTAGCAAAAAGTAGAACCACTCTCTAATTTCTGCAGCAAATTTTCGCAACCTGCAAGGACCTGATTTGTAGCAAGACACGGGTTTGATTCGTGGGTAGCAAACGCGCAGCATCGCTATTCCACTCGCTTTCAACGATGTCAAAAAACAAGATGCACGTTTTTGGAGCCCGTTTTACTGTACCTGAGAGCAATTTTCGTATGACCTTGAAAAATGGTTTCCGTAAGTGTTCGTTACTTGTTTTATCAGCTAATGAATGAAAAGATCAAAACACGGACTCTTCGTTTTCCCTCCAAGAAAACCCTAATATGGAGAAGGCATTGTTCGATTGGCCAATCGTGTTGCAGTATGACGTCAAAGTGAAGTATCGATTGATTTCTAGAAAGTTCTCGGGAATGAACTTTTTTCACCCGGCGTTTGTATCCGTTCGATAAACCAATCAAATCGCTCTATTTCCGTTTGTTTGTTGTTTCTTTTTTGTTCGCGCGTTATCATTTCAAGGTCATACGAAAATCGCTCTAATTGTTTCGACCAATCACACACGATACGTCACTGGTACGAGCAAACATTCCTATTAACCGACCAGATCTCCAACAACGACGAAAAGTCTGAGCCCTAGAGCATTCGACTGGTTTTGGTCTTAATTCGGATCGGATAACAAGGTTGCGCCAAGTTTTTTTTTTTTTGCCAACCGTAAACTAAAGTAAAAAGTTTTCTTACCTGAGCCGTGAGTAGCATTTCTAGTGTCGCTTATACCATACAAGGCTCTGATACTGGTCGGAGCGATGTCTCTTGCTCTGAAAGAAGGAAAACGTAACTGTGCGTAAAAATCGTGACAGATACATTACGCTTGCAAGCTTAAAAACGAAATTCAAGCATATAAAGCAACTTTTAGGATAGTTTGAGGCTAAAAAAAGTGCTGCCATTCAAAAATTTCAAATATGGTAAGTTTTTGCTCCCATAAGTTATCCAAAGAGGACAAACTGGTGATGAAACTTCTCCGTACGTCACAAAAAATACAATAACATCTGAAAAACTAATGCCACTTTCAAAGGTGGCTGCTCTCTTATAATGAAATTTAGTAATCTCAGCAAGGTTTTAAGAAAAAGCAGTGATTTAAAGCAAATAAAATCCTAAAGGATCTTGGTAGTGGTAATCAAATAGCCTCTTTCGAGAGTAACTAGGGCTTCTTCTTCCAGAATTCAATAGTCGCATGGACACTAATGCGTGAGGAGGAGGACATTAATACAACTTCTTGGTTACCTGTAAGTTTTGGTGGGCCCCATTAGTTCTCGCCAGAGAGTTATGCAGTTTTCCCTTGCAAGTATCATCGCTGTCAATGGTCCACTAAACTGACAAAGAAGAACATTTAGGTTAGGTCTCCAACAAGCAGAACCTCTGAGTGGTGCGCACTTATGTAAATATCTATGCAGTAGAAACCCCGGTGGTAACTCAAACTCGGATAACTCGAACTCCCCGTTAACTTGAACTAAGTTCCCATTCCCCTTGGATTCCACCTCACTTTTCAGTCATTTTTACTCAGTTCACTCCCGCGATCTCAGATAACTCGAATTCCCCGCTATCTCGATCTAAATTTCGTTTCCCTTAATCAAAATTTACCCCGATAGCTCGAGTTCTGGCTCTCGCAACTCTTGTCGAGTAATCAGTAAAAAGCCTAAAACTGACACTACAGCAATTTAATATTATTCTAATTAATGTGACGAATTTTTTGACATATTTAAAAGTCATTACCCAACATTATGAGTCATACCGGATCATGTGTTACAGTTTCTGATAAGATAAGTTTAATATGCACTGTACTGTATACTGACGTGCTAAAAAATCAGTAAACAAACACTAATAAACATGGCAAAATGACTTTTCAATCGGCCTTGAGAACTTGAACCTCCACAAAATAAGAACTATTTTCCAATTCCCCTCGGAATTCGAGTTACCGGAGTTCTACTGTAACTGTTACAAGCTCCTAGGCAAGGTGGCAACAGCTTGACTACAGTCATGGAGACCAAAAAGAAGTCCACACTGGTTAACCCTTTAAGCCCCACTATCGATTCTCCAAACTGATCTCCATACATTTCCTTACAGAATTAGTTGAGATAATTTGATCAAAGATCAAAGATTTTTCTCTTTGAGATCATTTTATTAATTCTCGTAGACTTTGCTCTTGACAATTTATGGACATAGTTAGGGGAAAATTGATTTTGGTCACTATTGGGACTTTAAGGGTTAACTGTTCACATCTCCTATTTTTTGGTACGACTGTCGAGGTCAAGGGTCGCTGTCTTGAATTCTCTTGGTGAGCGAAAACTGGGAGGAGAACAAAGACCCATGTGGATGGGAGGACAGGTGACACACAGGCTTCATAAATAAAATTGCAACCTTTTTTTAAGGACTTTTCTACAACCTCATTCGATTTTTAAGGACCACCTAACAGGAACTTAATTTCACAGATTGTACAAAAATGTACATTCCCAGTCCATTCTAATAGGACCTTAAGGCTTGAACTGCTTGCTTCACCAACTTCTCCACATTTTTCAGTTCTTTTGTCTTCAATTGATGGTTAACTATTACATAAAACAGAAACGCTTTATGCAAATCACCATTAACTTCTCTGAGCTCTGATTTATATTCTGTCTTCGACAACCCGAAAAGCATTAAAAAACACTTTCCAGGCGACCACATTCAAAGTTGAAGAAAATGCAAGGACTTTTCAAGGACTTGCACAGAAATTTAAGGACTTTTCAAGGAAAAATGGAATTCAAGGACTTTTCAAGACTGTGTGAACCCTGGATATACCCACCCCCAGTACCCATGAACAATTTGAACTCTTCAGCAATCATACTCAAAAATAACATGGAAAATAGGGGAGAGAGAACAGTCTAAAAACAACGGGAAGGGAATGGAAGAAATTTTTCTTACACTACAATAGAGACAATAGGTCTTGAAGAAGTAATTTGTTTTCTGACTGACTACTTTTTAAAAAGGGTCTTGTAAATACAGTCAATGTAAGTTAGTATCCTTAATACAGTCAACACTTGGCTTGTGGACACATCACAATTACAAACAATCAACCAATTCGGAAAACAGCTAAATTCCTTGTGAAAACTAAGAACAGATGTTTGACTGGAATAAACTCCTGCTTTTACAGACTCTCACTACGAAATCGCTTTCCCAAAGATGGCTGCACTAATGGAATTTGATGGTAGCAAGAGTCTGCCAGTAATAGCGAAAGTTTATTTCTGAAAAGCATATGTGATTTATTTTTGCCAGGATTTTAGCTGCTGTCTATTTTCTTGGGTGTTAAGTGTAGTAATTCAACACCTAAAGTCTTTAAGTACAAAAAAACTTCATCAGTAATCATTAACCTAATGTTAATCTTTGACCATTGAGAAAAAGAGAAAGCATACTGTCTCACCAGTATACACCAGACGGAAAACGGAGAAAGTTTGTCGTTGGTTCTCTCTTTTGCTCTGAGAGCTTTTTCTTCAAGTACTCCAGTTTTCTTCTCCCCTCAAACACTTACTTGTACACTTGGAACAAATTCCAATTTTGATGTGATATGGATGGACACATTTTAATGAGGTCTTAAGAACTCCGAAATGCTTTGTGGGTAAATAAATAATTTATATATCTTACAGTAATAAGATACATATTTTTTTTTACAATTTTACAAGAGATTTAATCATGGAGCTAAATAACCACCTGCTCATGAAAGTAATAAGCCTTGTGTAGAAAAAACGTTCTGAAAAAAATTAATAACAGTTGAAAAATTAGTGCAGGGTAGCAAAAAAACCCAGCTCTGATTTCCTGGGGCAAGTAAATTTTGATGTTGGGAAAGAACAAAAATTTGGTGGCTAGTGGGCAAGAGAAATTAAGGTTAGCAGTCCTGTGAGTATGTCTGAAAGTGTCAGCTTGGTAAATGATAATTTCCAAACTGAAGACTGCAAGGTGAGTGATACAATTAGTTGAAAGCATGAATCAATTTAAAATCCAAGTGTACATTTGCCCTCTCATGTTACTGCTCTGATCACCATATTGGTCAAATCCAGTGGTTACCCTGTATCTGGCACAGTAGTTATGTACTAGTACTCTTCAACACTTTGTTATAATCTATAACTTACTATAGACATTACCTTAGAACTATAGATGATAAGGCATTGTGTTCCCTTCAAACAAATAACATTTAAGTGGGGTCAAGTGAAAAGTTAAATTTACTTGCCCACTGGGCAAGTGGATTTCAATTTTCAATTTCAATTCCTGCCCTTCTTGTGAGTTTCCTGAGTGACTCTTAAAGGCTTTTCATATCAGTTCAGAATTCAATAAGCAGTTATATTTTATAAAGCCACCAAATATTTTTGTCTTTAAACCCTGTTATCAAACCAAAACAAATTTTGTGCAATTATATTGCTGAAGAAAATGACCATCATCTCTAAAGAACCAAAAATCTCTTCTAATCAGAAATATTATTTCATTCTAAGCATTTCGGGTGTCAATGACAAAATGCATACAGTAACGTAGCAGTTAATTTTGGAAGTTTTCATATTGTGTAATAATATTTCTTTGGATTTTTTCATGTTGAATTTTTAAACATCATCACAAAATTTAACCCCCTTTGACAAAAACCACACAGTACCGACTGCAAAATTATCTCCTGTAAAATACAAAAAATTGCCATTTCAAAAATTCAACTTCCTCTCAAGTCAATGAGTGTCATATGGTATTCTTATTTCTACTGAAAGGAGAATAATAATTCGTGGTACTAGTAGATTCATGTATTGGTTAGAAAAGAAACAATTATTATTTATTATGTTCTTAACCTTTGTGCTCTTCATAGAACTTTTCTGCTTCTTGCTGGTTTAGCTGTGTAACTTTTGATTGAACAACAAGGAAGCCTTTGTCCTTTATGATCTTCTTCACTTTCTATCATGAAAACAATTACTAATTTGTCACAACAAGTTAAAGTGGCAAGTGGATCTGGGGTAAGAAGGCAGAGGTGGCAGCGGTGTACCTGGGGTAAGAACAGGGAAGTGCACGGTGTGTTTGGAATAAGATAGGGAAAGGTCCCTGGGGTAAGAAAAAGAAGGGGGAAGTATATCTAGGGCAAGAATTCCCTGCTAGCAGAGGTCTCTCACGACGAGGCAAAAATGAGATCTCTCATTTTTGCCTCGTCGTGAGAGACCTCTGCTAGCAGGGAAGGGCAAGAATGGAGGGTGGGGGGGGGGGGGATAAAAGGGGGGGAATGAGGGGGGGAAAGAAAGCAAAGGTATATTTGGGTTAAGAATAGAGAAGTGTACGGGGTATCTGGAACAAGACAGGGAAAGGTTTCAGGGGTAAGCAGGGGTAAGATTTTCGCACAGGCCCATCACATTAAACTTATGTATGTTTCGACTTTACTAGCTCATTCAATTTTGTGTGAAATAATATGAGATTGCCGCATGAATAAATGTATGGCGCAGTGCAGAAATCTTACTAGAACTTTTCTCACCTTGGTTCTCACTGGGTGCATCATTAAGTCAGGTTTTAGAATCGCCAGCGTCAACTGAAGGCGACGTCGTACAACCATCATGGACGCTTGCACAATAGCCGGCACGAAAATCTGTGCCCGAAATATAAGCCAGAATGATCACTTGTCACTGAGATAAGAGACAGAGAGGAAAGACTTTCATTCTAGAGGTACAACTGTCTGTTATGGTCCGATGTTTTTCTCGTAAGTTGAAGAAACTACCACCTCTCTTTTTTGAACTACCAACTTCAGTTCATTTCTCAGCGCGTGCACCGACTGCACTGCGCATTTAGGTCCCAGTATTTCTCACAGCTTCTTTATGTCACGCCGTTTCTTTCCAAATGTGATGTCTTAGTTGGCAAATGGATTTCTTTTTGCAAACTGTAGGTTCTATACAGTCTGGATAATTTTCTCATTAAGAAAGAGGCAGCAAGCGCTGTTTTTGCTTTTAAAATTTCTTGAAGATCTTTTGACAGGCGTTACATTACGTCACGCTTTTTAGATCACGCATTCTTTTATGACTTCGCTTCCAGTTCCCAGCAGCGGATTTCCCAGCATAGGTCTACAACAGAATACATACATACGCATACGTACCGTCACCCACTGTCACTGGAGGATATGACCCTCTGATCCATCAAAATGCCTCCTATTTTAGCATCTCCCCCGAGTTTAAATAGGCGAAAAACATGGAAGGAAGTTTTCTTTGATGGTCTGCAAGTTTTTCATTTCCTTGTAGCCATGAGTTTTCTCTGGGCAGGGATCGTCGAGTTCATCAAAAATCCTCCTTATTTTGATGCGTATGGGGACGCTTCGACTCAGAACAATCTTCCGGAGGGTTTATTCGAGGTGAATTTTAAATATATAATACTTTGCATAACATCTAAAAACTTTTAAAACGTTTAATTTAAGAGAATGAAGACTTGTTTTGAATAATGCCCCTCATGCTACATGTGTAAACAGGCTTCAATGGCTGTCTCAGCTTATCCACAGCTGTTATCCATCAATAACGGGAAACTCTGACGTCTCGTTTCGTATACAAATGTCGACCCATATTGAAGTTAACATACAAGACCAAACAGTATGGCAGTTTAAAATCACAAGGCTGAAGTATATAGGTGAATTACAATAAATTCATTCATATCTGATTAAAAACTCAAAAAAACTGTCTGTGCTTCAATTAGTTAATTGTTGTATTTATTTATTTAGTTAGTAATTTATTCACTAATAGCTACTTATTTAATGGTGTTTTAAAGCATATAGTGTTCGTTAAAATAACCTTACAGATTTGGACATATATTTGCCCAACCATAATTCGATGTTTTACTTTAATATTATATCACTGATTCTTCCGTAGCCACAACAGATGGAGCCTTCTTGCCAATCAAGATTTTTCAACTTTTATTTGCTTTTAATAGCTGGCTGTAAAGGTTTTCTTTCATAATACAAGCAGTACGAAAAGCAGTGGGGGAAGTGTTCTCATTACTACCCCAGAGATGCCAGCCTCTAGAGATCTAAAATCTGTAGACTCTTTCTTTTACATTTCCCCACCCACCCCCCCCCCCAAAAAAAAAGAATATATATCAGTGACCAAACCCCCTCTTGATAAACAAAAATCAAGCCAGTGTATGAATGTGACTAAGGACATATGAAATCTTACAGAATACACTGACCATCAAAATTCACTTTTATGATTGTAAGTACTGCAAAAATAATCTTTGTCAGCTAGAAACACATGGTGCAAAAATGCCCCAGAAACTGTACCATAAATGAAAAAAAGGAATATTGGGGGAAATGGGCTAAATTCCAGAGTATAAGAGCACAGAAATGCTCAAAAGTTTCTTTTAGCCAGGAGATTTTGTGATACATGGGAGACTAGGAGATTGATGCTGTAGCCATGAGATGCCTGTATGATCCATACAAATTTTCAAGACTGATCTTGATTCCATTTAAATATATTAATGTATAGCCTGCAAAACAGGCGTATTTTGGGGCAGGATCCATCAATTGTTTTCAGGAATGACGTCCCGCCATCTTGGACGTAAATAGTATTAATTCTTCACCCCACAGTTCTTGTATATGATTTTCATATATTCATGACCTCATCATCATCATCCTTTCACAGGTTTAACACGGGTTTAATACAACCATCTAAACATGTATTTTTCTCCAAATATTGTCAATTGTCATCCACTTTGATTACTGTAACAATTATATTTGTTCTTTCATCATTTTCAGACTGATCCAAGGAATATCAACAGAGAGGTGAGAAATTGACTGTTATTTACTTCCTGCAGCTATGCAAGTATATATTGAGATTAAAGTTTTTTATCGTTACCACTGTACTTGATTATAACAGTTTATACCGTACATTCCTATGAACATATCTTTTGAAATTCAGATCCATAAATTATATGTCTTGTTTTTTGTTGCAGCAAGCTCTTCGCCTGATGGATTTTCCAATTCTTGCCATGCTGTTTGTAAGTACAACATAGATTCAACATTAAAACCCAGGACATAAACTAATCACAGGTATAACATATAATTATGGCAGACAAAAGTCTACCAGAAGAATGGAAGAGCCCCCGGGCACAAGTGTTCTTACAGAACTACTTCCAGAATCATTCGAAATCCCTGCTTCTGATTGGTTATGAAATAGCCAATCAGTAACAGGGAATTCAAAAACTGGTGGGACTCATAGTCAGTGAAAGCCAGAAGTTAAGTTAAAGTCACAAGAAGGAAAGACTATTTTATTTTAACCATAACGCTGGGTGTTAGTTGTAGTAATTATCCATTCAAAAGCATGCAATTACAGTGGAACCGTGCCTTACAGCCACCTCAGTAATGTGGTCACCTCAATATTACAGCCATTTTTTTTTTCAGGTAAAACGCGATACATTTTCTTATAAAAACCCTCATTAATGCAGTCACCCATTAAAACAGCCAACGGCCATGTTTTAACCCAAAGAGTATCTAGAATGTTTTACAATTTAACATTATTAATACAGCCACTTGTTTGAAGTTTAGAAAATTTTAAAAACTGTGACATGTAAATTTCACTGACCAAGTAAGCTGAGCCTGTTCTTGTTTTTTTTTTAGACTAAAATTATGCATTTGTGCAGGCAGTTTAATACCAGTAGCAGATTTTTAAGAGTGTAACATGTATGTACTGAAGGAAAGTTTCAAGTAGTTTATATTACAATAATTACTGTACGAGATATCTACATTCCGGTTGTTTATAAAGAGAACAGTAATGTTGTTCAAAAAGTGCGAATGTGTTGTATGGTTTATTTCTTGTTACATGTATGGCCCCTCATTAAGTCATTAAATTTGACCCTGCCCTGGTAATATGGCCACCCTGTTAAGTACAGCCAAATTTTTTTGACCCATTGGTGACTGTATTAATGAACAGGTTCCACTATATGTAGATCTTGGAGAGTCAATGTTATCCATTGAAGATGATAACACACTGGCTATTTAATTTGTATCATCTTTTTTTGATACAGTCTAATTATATTGCAGGCCTATTTTGGTGTGTGCTGGTGGTTAAAGTTCCAAGGATTAGCTTGGATTCTTACAGCTTGCATCACCCTTGTGTTGCTTTGTTTCTTTGTTGTCAACTTCTGGGCCACCGATCTTTTTGATTGGAGGTAATAGTAAAAAAAAATAAAAAAAATATCTTATTATCCACTCCCCTTGGGGCTTTTCAGGGATAATTTACAACACTGGTTGGGGAACTTTGCCAGACTGCTTAAGGTGCAGTTTACAAGTAATGAAGGAATGAGTAATGATGCCCCCATACATGAATGTGAAAGTGAGATAGACCACTTCACTGGGTACTACGTGCCCTACTCTTTTTGAAGAGTGTGTGGGTTCTTTAACATCCCACAGATTTGTTACATGTGCAAGGGCTTGTAGGATGGGGCCTACGGTTTATCATCCTTATCCAAGAAGACTACAAGATAGTCTGACCGTTTGCAGATGTTATTACAAAGTCAGCACTTTCTCCTCAGTTATTTAAAGACCCCGAGTGTTGGTTCGGCCAGGGTTTGAACCTACGGCCTCCCGCTCACAAACTGGTGCTTATAGTCTTGAAAGCCGTAAGCAATAATTTTGCTATTGTTGGTGACAGAAAGTCAATCAGAATTTTGTTTGTTTGATGTTAAACCAGCTTATAATTTTTAATTTAGGCATTGTTCAGACTTCTCCTAGGTTTCAAAATGGCATGTGAATGACAAAAATCAGCCAGTTAAGCCTGTATGTTTACTTGTTCACACATCATCGTTTTTCTTGTCCATTATTTGCCACAGCCTGGGGCCCATAACCTGGAGCAAGCAACTTCCATGTGCTTGTGTCACAGCATTTTCATGGACCAGTTTATTTTTAGAACAGTTTTAGCGCAAATTTTGAATATCTTTTAAATTCCACAAACCAGTCAGCAAAACCTACAGACCTAAATATGATATTTTTTGCCTTTTTATAACATTTAGTTGTCCTTTTTTTATATCTTATTCTTCGAATGCGCCCATAGACATGGTAGATTCTATTTTCGCAGGAAAAGGTGCCCTAAAATGTGTCTAAAAATAAACTGGTCCGTAAAAACGCTGTGACATAGGCCAAGAATGGAATTTGCTCGCTCCAGGTTATGGGCTCCACCTTTTAACTTTGTGACCATTTGTCCTTTGTCTAATATTGAAAACAATAACTTAAACAATTTAACCACCATGTGGACCAATCAGAGCTCTTGACCAGATTCTGGACAGATTTTACATCATCTGTACATGAAATTTCTGTTGTTGAGGAGCAGACATCTCTGCTGCAGAACAGCCTTTAATGGTGAGGAGCAGAAGAGATGGCTGCATTCGCAGGCTATCAGAAGGCCTGTATAACTTTTATTAGACGCTCTACAGTATGAGCTGTCAACAAAAGTAGAGTTTTGACAGTTTTGGAGACATATAACTGCCACAAAATTTCAAAGTTTTAGATAGATAGATAGATAGTTTATTAAAATATCGAACATGGCAGTCCGTAGACTGAATTGCGTTACAATTACTTAAAACTAAGATTAAATAAATTCCAAAAATATAAATACTAATTGAAATTATAGCAAAAAACATTTCTATAAAAATGCGAAAAACTCTCTATATATAACTAGGTACAAACTGGTCCAAAAAATTTTGTACACATACTTGGAATAAAAGTGTTCTTAAAACGATTTGTATGTGTGCGGGGCATGGCATAAGCCCTGGACTGTCTTAGATTATGTCTGTGTTCTCTCTTAGGAGGTAAGACAGGCACAAGTTTGTGATCAGGGCATGACGTGATAGACTCGAAAAGCTTGCTACACAGGGCCACGCGTCTAGCGTGCAAGGTTACTAAATCGAACCTGACCAAACATTCTGAATACGACGCATAAGGACAAATGATGGAAAGCGCTCTCTTTTGCACTCGTTCAATGTCGTCACTAAGATACTGTGGAAGCGCATGATGGAAAACTGGCGCACAGTACTCTAAAACAGGTCTTATCATGGTGCAGTAAAAATTTACAATGTCGCTCAGTGGAACGTTGGCGCGCTTTAGAAGAACAATAAAATAAAGGCGCTTGTTCGCTTTCTTAATGCACTCTGAGATGTGTTCGTTCCATTTTAAATCTGAGCTAATAGTGACTCCTAGGATTTTTACACTGTTTCACTGTTTAATACTGATAGTTCCTTGCCATTTATCACAATTGGTGGAAAATTGTGAGTGTTCCTTTTAAAGTCAATGCGCATCTCCTTGCATTTGTCAGCGTTCAGTTCCATCCTATTTTCGATCGACCACGTCTCAACAGCAACAATTACAACAGATTTAGAGCTATCAAGTAAACTTTTGTTTAAAAAATGCTGCACCTGTAAGCAAAAAAATTCAGTATACACATGCCACTTCAGTCTAGAAAAATCGTAAGGGCACTTTTGGCTGAGCTCAACTGACTACCTGCAGTTATCTTTGCTTTTTATATTTCTTGGCCATGTATGTGTTCCTGTAACTTAATAATTTAAATTCTTTACCCAGGAGTTACAAACCAAGAATGAAAGGACTTGAAACACAAGTGTTTACTATTACATTATCCATCACTGCAACTTTTATGGTGTTGTTTTATAAGAGGAGAAAAATGCCATTTAAATTCAAGGTAATATTATAGACTGGCCCATTTTGTCAAATTGGACTGTAGGACTGTTTTTTGAGGGGAGGGGGTTGGAGGTGAATTTTGACCAAGGCACAAATTTTTATGTATTAAATGGCCAATAAAATAAGCAATAGTATCCACAAAGCAGCTGTCCCATTAGTATAATATTGTACTATGGGACTGCTTTGGAGATGCTTTTAGTTTCTTTGTTTGGCTGTTACTCAAAAGTTAATTTGCGTCTAGGTCAATGTTGTCTTGGATGATTCAACAGAACATTGACCCACCAATGACAGTTAGAGTCTTCGTATAGTCTTTAACATCACAGCTTAACTAAAAGACAACCCATAACATTGCAACCTAATTGACCTATCAAGTCGATGACCAGAGTTAATAGCATCTACTGACGTCATACTACTCACTTTGACTCAGAAGAGACTACTGCACAGGTTGTCGAAACGTCAGTCACTGTCAGCAACATTCTTATTCAGGGCTACACCCACCCAGACAATCCTGCTCTACCTACTTATGAAATTGACGCGGTCTCTTGCACAACCTCAAAATGGCTTTTTGAATAAGCAAAATAATAAATGATACTAATCAAATGTGACTTATTCAACAGGCCACTCTACCAATCAGACCATTTGGGAAAATCCATGTGTTCTGCAACTTCGCAGTGATCTTTGTGATAGTCTACTTCTGCCTGATGATGTGGTTCTCAAAGCTGTATGTGTCTTGGGCCTACTTCAACAACTACAAGGAAGTTTTAGAGTTATGCCAGAGCACAAACATGGTGAGCTTTCTCACAAAACACACTGATGCAAATTACGGACAAAAAATTTGAAAACCTCAAAATCTCTACACTTGTCCCCTGGCTTATAACTTCTCATACAGGCATTGGAGAGAGCTTGTGACGACAAGAAGCTTCAATAAATTGCCTGTACTAATCAGATATTACCCACCCAGCCCATGAAAGGTTGATCAAACCACTGGGATCTACATCCTCTACTCTTTAAAAATGGTTAACAGCAGTGTGGGTTCTTTTGTCCTGTGACAAAAGAGCTATGAGAGGGGGCCAACTGTATTTTGTTTTATCTGAAAAGATTTGAATCCCTAACCACTTGTACATGTTAGAAGAAAGATAGTCCATTAAGGCAGACCCTGTGTTTGAAGGGTTTGAACCCATGACCTACTGCTTAGCAGACTGGGGCTTAAATCCAAATTTGAGCCAACCAGGCGGCAGTTCACAAACTTGAATTCAAAAACTTATCAATAATTCTTAAAGAAAAAACAAAAGAAATTTATGTAATAATGAGTGTCTTTATATCTAATAAAGACATGGCTAAACTTTACGTCCAGTTTTTTAGACCAAAATAACCCCATATCTAAATATTAGAGCAAGAAGGAGTTGATCTATATCAGAGCTTTTGAAGCCGTTCAAAAAACTTGCAGTCATGTATTATCAGCTGTAAAAACTCTTGGCTTCGCCTCCATTTTTTTTAAACCGGATAAAACACTCCTGCTCGTTTTTTAAACAGTACATTTTCCACGTATCCTCTTTATCTTACATTTAGGTTCAGTGCTATCCCTGTGACAAACCTGACTTTGATGGAATGAAAGAATGTGTGAAGGAGAAACACCAGTTGTTCCACTGCCAAGATGTTCAAAAAGAACAGGTCAGGAAAAGTTTAAGGAAAATAATGATCTTAGCAATGATTTAGGGCTTGAAAATCTTGAATTTTAGCTTGTCAATTGTGTTAGCTTACTTTTTTGTCAGTTAGAAAATCACTTTCCTGGGCTATGCCCAATGACTGAGTGAACATGAAAAGACTAAAAAGCTCGGGTGGGGGGGACTCCGCATATGAAAGGGGTGGGGATGCTCGTGGTCTCGCTTAGGGGTGCAAATTTCGGATTTTGGTCTCACTTAGAGTGTTCTGGGCAAAACGCCATCATATTTAGCCGTGAAGGTCTCGTTTAGGGTTGCACGCGAAAAAATATAAAAATACATATATTGTCTGTGTTTTAACATGGCCTCTTTTAGGGGTCCAAAAAGCTTGAGCCACGCCCAGATCGGTCTCCTTTAAGCGTTAAATTCAAAATTTCCGACAAGCATCCCCATCCCTTTCATATGCAGAGTCCCCCCCGCCCCAGTGTTAAAAAGTAACTTTGCCGGCAGGATGGGACCGAATGTTTTAGCCCTGTCTTTGTTGACGCGTCTCTGGTTTGATTCCCGAACATGCTACCCTTCAGATCAACCCATTTTAAAAGAGTCGTGCAAATTAAAGCACGCCCTCAACCGTCAAGAAAAGTTTTTTTAATTTTACATTGTCAAGAATATTATTGTCAAGATATTTATTTAACGTTGCTCTGATTTCCTCTCAGGGCGCCTTTTGCTTATTCAACTACAATCTGAGCGTGTTTGTGTTCCTCACAGGTATGCTTTAGCTACACCACTTGATTTAATTCAATGTTAAAAAAAAAACAGGCCTACATTTTTGTCAGTTACATACTAAGTAAAAAGCTGTAGCGCCGATCAGAGGACGTTGTGTTTTGCATTTGAGAGATTCTCCACAAGTTTAGTCCTTTCAGTTAATCCTTTTCTGTCAAATCCCCAAATGCGTCTCGCGAAATGCCTCCTTCTTTTGCGCGAAATTGAACAATAAAAAAGATCAGACATAAGATAGAAAGCAGGGGCGGATCTAGGGGGAGGGTGCAGGGGGTGCGCACCCCCCCCCCCCCCCCCCAGTGCCCCCCGGTCCCCTAATAAAAAAGCTTTTTTGAAAAAAAAAAAAAAGGTTTTTTTTTTTTGTGGGAGAGGAAGAAAGAAAAGGAACCCCCCCCCACAAAAAAAACAAATGCCCCCGCCGCAAGAAAGAAAAAAGGGAAAAAAACAAAACAC